GACAGATAGTTTGGTGGCAGGTGTGTTTAAGACTTCAAACTTTATACATTTTATTCCGTAACAAATGATTAGAGTTTTTTCTAAGATGTAAGCATACTTTACCACCGTTCATTGTCCAGATTTTTTCGTACTCATTCTGTCCTTCCAAATAAGCGCTCACAATCTAGCTATTGAAATAAAAAATTTTTTAAATGGAATACTTTCACTGGTTGGCATCAAAATAATTTTAGATGGCCAGATTTTTTAGCGTCAAAGTTTGAATACAACAAACCTTTTCCTAGTTCTAAATGTGTTTAAAATATGGCTGGTACAAGTCTATTGATATGTTGGTTCCTAGTTTTGACTATTTTTTAAGGTAAAAGTACATAACTGATTGAAACTTACTTTTGAAGTGGATGCAGATTTACACTCTGTATGTTTTATCTCGCATGAATACAGAGATGTGTTTTAACATTTATTTCGTATCAATTAATTACGGGTGTATTAAAAATATGCGAAGTAAATGACATGAAAGTAAGAAATAGAATCACGCATTTAGTGAGCCCCAATATACACAAAAATTGGATCTGAGTTTTTCTCTTGGTTGCTTACAACAGACTAACATAAATCAAAAAATTTCATCATTCTGTTGTCTACAGTAACACCATAAGCTGATAGTTTAAAGCCAAGCTGGCCTTGATATCTGACAAACCTTGGAACCACTTTATCACACCCTGCGTAAGCTTTAGCCGCTGTTTCCGAAAGCACTTGAGCATTCTGAAACGAAAATACATTCGCTTGTTCAGCTGCGCTGAACAGTGTTCGCAAATGCACTTTCAAAAGAGGAACTTGGCATAAGAGAAATATTTTGCAGTTCAACAGGTGCGGGCACATTTAACCAAATAGAAAGGCTATCATGTTGTCAAAGTATTTAAAACATTTCCTAACGGTGGAATATATTCCAGAGATTAACTGTCGCGAAATTTCTACTTAAATTTCTTGACAAACACTATGTATAAACGGACCTATCGCTGTTACTTCTGGATTCAGGCTATGGGAATTAAATTGTTTTCAGAGCCTAGTACCTGCATTTAATAATATTTTTAAGACGCATACTTTTTGCATTTCATTCTCCACCTTAATTGTTTGGTGTTTCATCAATTTCTTGCTGACAGTGACATCAGTAGACATTTTTCTAGTCTTCATAAACAGTGAATAGATGAGATTTATCTACCTACTGATAAGTTCTAATCTGTGCTCATCGAAAAACATTGTTTCGTATAAATTTTTTTAGGTAAGTCTAAAAATTAAAGCATATAGAACTTGCTACATAATGCCTACAGAACAGCGTATTCACCGATACTAAAACAACACCAGACCCCAAGTATGCTCCATAGCAATCCAATGGCAGTAACGTTTGTGTTCAAAAAGGTTTGATGATCGAACCTTATTATGGTAGCGAATCACCTTGTTTCTGACATTATATCATCATCCTTCCGATCACTGTGTTTTATAGGTCCTTTCTTGATCTCTTCAATATAGAATTATCATATTGCCATGATTTCACCTGTCATTTTTGCTGTATCTACTTGTTTCAACCAATTACTGCTATGCAATTCATAATTTCTGATATATTTAGGCAGGGTATCTCATTTCTTTTTACATTCATGTCCATGTAATCAACTTTCAAACATAACTGGACTAAAATACAGGACATAAGAACCTTATAATGTGGTCTTTCTTTTTATTTATTGTGAAAACATGAATTTATATAACAGTAACTTACATGTACGCTTTCTGTTTATTTATAAGCTGATGATTATTCATTAGAGGCACATGAAATAAATGCGATGAAATGAATTCACTCTGTTTAACAAATCTTGTCCTAATCGTTTTGCTTAGTATCGAATTGAAATACGAACAAACAATAATGAGGGTGGACTGATGGAGCAATCAAATAATAATGCCTGTCAATTCGACAACGTGATGGCTAAAACTGATTTCAGAACATGCTTGAGCGCACGTTTGCCTTTTAAATGTAGATTAAAAATTCTTTGTTCGTTTTTTATTGTTTTATCGTAATAATTTTCATAATCTTATTTGCAATCTTGCATCTACTTCACACAACTAGTGTTAAGATTTACAACTTAATGAGAAATGATGAACGATGGAATAACCTTTAACTCTATTTAAGTACTCTGCATTCAAACTAATCCTCTGGAATAAAATTAGTAGTATATCGTTTCTGAAATACGAATACATTGAATTCTGTTTCGCATGCCTTTTTGCGAGTGAATGATGAAAATTACTCTATCTTAAGATGCATTAACTGTTTAACTATTATTAGTTTGAGTTTCTTCAGCTTCTATATTACATCTAGGATCCTCATTAAATCTTAACCAGCTAACCATCATATATTCGCACTTATTTCTACATATGGAGTCGTTGCTACTCTATGGTTTACCATCATATATGTGAATATATATATATATATATCTTAACAGTCACAGATAGATAAGTGAATTGTTAAATGATCTGACTTAAGTAAAAGACTGAGCACTACTAATGGTGAGCAGCATCGGAATTCATCAGTACAAATGATTTGTGAGTTTAGCGGAGAAGATGAAAGACGTTTTCCATATCTTTTCATACTAATCTACATCACTATCAGTAATTCCAGCTTTTAAGCAACTTGGCTGTTCTTGGTCATCTAGTTCCTAACTTCATCTCAGCATGAATACCTACACTTTGGTTTCATTTTACATAGGTCAAAGAATACGGTCATAAAGCTTCACTTTCATACCTAGGTATAAGTAGATAACTGTATCAGTGAACAACGCCTGAGTTCTCGATTTTGATTAATTTGAAAATTTGATATATCGAGAACAGTGTGATTGTTATATATTAACTACTTGCACTTCAAAACTTTTGTGGTGAATATTGCAAAACATTCAGTCGAAGTTAAGTACTACTAATCAAAATGAATCTGATCTCCAATTGATAATACATAGGCTTTTGAAGCCAAAGTCGTTCTAAGCCAGCTTGCTAGTGTAACTAGAACAGTAGATCATAATTGCTTGCAATAATTTTGATTATTCCTGGTGACATTAAGGACCGTAATGGCATACTGATCTGATAATGATTGGGAAACTTTAAATTCTTAACCCTTTTCCAAAATGATCCTTACAAATTTAACAAGAACTAATATAAAGGATTCACAGTCAAATCATTTAGGTTACACAACTCAGCAACACTGAATGGATTCATGAGTGTCATTGGTTTTGCAGAATAATGCGTAATAAATATTTTTATCGACAGTGAGCAGTATATTATGTTCTTCACTTTTAGTTATTCAAACGAGTCAGAGTTCATGTACATACTCCTGAAATTATTTAACATTTTAACTTTCATTCTCATTGTTTAAGTGAGTCTAACTCTGACACGGATGAACAGGATCTAATCATTCTCAAACATTTAGCGAACGTAATGACGTAAATGCTATACCTATTCACTTTTCACATTTAATGTATAGCATCTTCATTGTTAACTATATTTTTAAATGCATCCGCTGCAACTGTTACGAAATCCCCGTATCACCAGCAGTTAAACTTTCAACAAACATTTATGAAACAAAGCGATCTCGATAAGTAATCTTTGTATTGAATTACGCATTTAATCAAATAAGGACTACAGATCAACTGAACACGGTATGATGTGGACCTGTCTTACGAATAATTTTCGTGCCTTTATACAGGTGAATTCACAATAACATTCACGTATGGAATTCGAATTCAAGTATACTTCTATCAAAATCATTAGTCTCATTTTACGGTATCCACTAAGGCTGTTCTTTTTGGTCATCAAAACATATAATCCAGTAAATAATTTTCTGATCGTTAGGTTGTTTTAGGCTGGACCGATGGAAAATTTTGCCAACCTTGACAACATTTTCCGTGTACGCATGATGTTATATTGTCAGTGATTATTTCACTACTTAGAAACGAGTAGTTCGGAAAAGTGAATTTATTGACTTAACAGAATTTCTCAGATGCTCAAGTAATAAGCGTTGGAATCTTCACTACATTTAACTGATTTCATTTCTGCCTAAGCGCTATCAGAAAGTGATAATTTTACATTGAAATATGGTAGTGATCTGTAAGAAAGTGAACCTAAATACCCGAAAACTTTAAAAGTACATCGGCAGTGCTCGCTTTAGCCTATGGAAATCCTGCTTTTTGTACAGATAGCAGTGAAGGCAGGTAAAGAACCGATAAGTTTACAACCTAAAATTTTACCTCGTAATTTAAATAAGAAGCAGTTTTCACCTGTCCCAAGCAGACATCTAGCTATACTATCCAACTCAAATATAGCCACAGAAACTGATGTCTGCGAAGACATTGATCACTTATTATTGAAGTGTTAAAGGTCTTGACTTGATTTTCAACTTGAAAGTCGTGTTTGCAATGAACTGCTCAGTACTTGCATACGGCTTTAAATTTTTCACCAAAACGCTGAGAGCACTAAAAATGTTCACAACATCCTTTGACGTTTGATGAACTCATAAATTATGTTGTGTCGATAGTAGAATCTCAGCTTTGGTCAAAGAATGCAACTCACGAATGAAAATTATAGAATGTATCATTAGTTAATGGAAAAATCCATCGTTTAGGTGTTCATCTTTAGACTCAAAAGCCATCACTTACACTCACTGAGCAATTGCTGATTAAGATTGTTGGTTCTGAGAAATGTCAGACTGCTTTGTTGAACTTCTATTTTATTAGCACGGTCAAGAACACCCTTTACTTACATACGAACATGTTTCTATTTCATTGTAATTTAACACCTCACCTTTCATGTTTTTTTAACTTCCTTTGCTTTTGCAGATGATGTGTACTAAGCGAGTATACTGCTGTAACAAAAGTTCAAATAGCAGCTACAATATGTGTTTCTTTCTTCTTCAGCATATACGTACGCGTGGTCACTAAAATCAACAGAACAGAAGCACTGAAAAGCGCACTTTTGATTATTTAGCTTAGAAAGCTGTTTATTTTATTAAAAAAGTAGTCATTATGTACAAATATTTACATTCAAATAGAGTTAAAAAACCGGAAATTGGAGAAAAATTAAATTCCTTCAAAATTTAACAAAAGTAGAATCTGTGAACTTAAACCATTAAAAATTTTAATTATGAAGATTATGCTTTGTAAACAGTTATTGTGTATATGTATATTCCAGGTTCTTTTTTCAGAGGAAGTAAACTTATTTCAACAAAAGCAAACAAGTTTATCCTATGATGCAGTATCACAGTCATTAAGCCGTATGTTATATATGACTAGCATTGAAATCGTTTTCACGGACATTGGTCGGAACACAAGTAAATGACTCATCTATTTTACATTTCTTTTGACTATTACCTGATAAAGTAGAAATGTACTCAAATTCGACAGGTGTTTCGACATTTTTGACATTACAATGATCAGTGATCTCGGGATTTCTGTGCATTGTAGTAATACCATCTTTTGAGCTGTCCTCTAGACTACTAGAATTGCACATGTGTTTTGATGAATGAACTTCATATATGTAAGGTGATTGTACTGAAATAATGTCATTGATACCTAGGTTGACTGGACTAATCGTTTTGGGTCGAGATAAAAGAGTAAAACTCGGGAACTTCAAGCTTTCCGTAGGTAAATGGGTTAAAATAAAAGGATTTGTGAGATGTGAAGGCTGTTGCTGAATTGGTGAAACGCTAGAAGACACTGATGACGATATTATTGCCGGTTGGGGTGCTATGATACTATTTGGTGATATTAGATGGAATGTGGAATTGGCACTATAATCATTGCTGCTGTAGAATGTATCATTAGTATGGCCATCGAAAGTAGGTGTTCGATTATCGACTTGCATATCTCCTGTCCAGTAAATTACAGCACCACTAAAATCACAGCTGCATGCACAGTCTTGTGTTGACATTGTTGGTATCTCTGCTGGAATAATGTGATCAATTTTTGTCTTTTTATCGAATGTGACTTTAGATGATTTAACTGATATTATAGGACTGTTGGTTCGCTCAAGGGAATCCAGTTTCACATCAACACCTGCTACATCGCCTAAGCACACTTTCGAATGTGTATGATTTGCCTTCAATATACACTTATTAGGACTTCTCAGTGGTTCTCCAGTCAATACACTTGCTGTTATGGAGAAATTATTCGACATACATTTCTCTGATGACTCTGAAGTATTTATCTGGTTTTTGCCTGTTTTATTCTTTCGTTTATATATACAGCAGCCTACTGCGCAGATAACCAATACAGATATAAATGCCAAAGATAAAGCGAGACCAGCAATTGTAAACGCTATTTTGCCTGTACCTAAATATTTAGCATTTTCATTAAGCATATTCAGTTTACTTTCTGGAAACAATGCTAGGGATGGAGATAAAACGCCACGGTTTTCATTGTCACTACCTCTACTGTTACTTTCTCGTAGGGAAGATAATGAATTTTTCATCAGAATCTTAAAACTGCCATGGCCTGGTTGCGAAACTACAGGTTCGAAAGAAGCTAAATAATTCGTTGGGAAATTGAAAGGACCCGAAGTAAATATATAAGGAACAATTTCTTCATACATCCCTGCTCCATCTTCGTCCACTTCATATGCTTCAAATGAAACACTATTTGTTTGAAAGTCTTGTAAGCTGATATTAATTGAACTGGATGCTTTATCTTCTAGGTAACCACTTGAAATAACTAATCTATTGTTAGTATAAAACCTACCCGATTTTAACGCTGTCCCAGTAGGAAATGTGAATATAGAAGTTGACAAGACCTTTTGCTCGTTTTTAGGCGAGTGTATGTTTGAAGTATAATATTTGCGCATAAAGTTCTCAAACTCAGTTATTTTTAAATTAGCGGCATTGATTCTAGACATTTTCCCAGGAGTTATGTACAGTGTTTCAATAAAAACAATTGACTTCACGCTTATATATACAGTAAGTGTGATGGGAGAATAACCCAGGCTTGATGACTGATGATTTAAAATTCGCGAGCTATCGGTGTCTGAAGAGAGGAAAATTGATCGACTTTTCAAATTCGCTCCACAAATGTTTCCATTGATTTCGACAATAAATGAATCATTTGCAGTAGAAAAGTTAGTTTTTTCGTAAAACACACGTTTCTGTATCAGTTGGTGATAATTAAAACTAATAACAGGTATTGTGTCTAAAAATATTCTTCCATAATTAGGCAGTCGTCGGATACGAAACCACACTAGCTGATTTATCTGATAAGTTTTCCATTTACTTGATTCAACTTGAAACATATCTGCATCGAACCATAATTTAGTTTCATTTTGTAGAAGGCTGAGTTCAACAGAATTATGAAACATGACATCACCTGGTATAATTTGAAATTGTAGTGTACCACTCAGATGACTTACTGGAAGACCGAGGTATTCTTCCTGGTAAACTTCAAATGTAACTGAGTCATAAACAGCAGTTTCAGAATTCTCATTCTTATTACTCACATAATTTGCGTAGTATCTTAATCTTTTCATATTAATATCATCTTGAGTTATTTTATGCAGTGTTTCGCACTCCGGTATTAAAGCATCATGTTCCTGCCTAAATGAATTGTACGAGTAATAAAGTTTACCGTATCTTGGTAATACTTTGAAAGATATGTAAATAAACTGTGGTTGAATGAATGCATGATGAATTAATAAATCTTTCTCTGTTATAGTCGCGTAATCATTCTTCTTGACAACAATTACATTTTTGTTTGTACTAAATAGATTTTTCCGGCTGATTACAGTTGTTGGATATATTATCTTCAGTGATGTGTTCACATTGGGAACAATATGAATGGGAAAAGTAACAGGTTGTTCGTAATTTGCTAACGGTCTTTTTAGTTGAGATATCTAGTTGATAGAATAAATAAAAAAGATAAAACAGAAGTCAAGTGAACTTTTAAGCTGTTAAGAGTAATACACACTTATTTTACGGCTGCCAATGAATCAAGCATGAAATGTTGTTGCTTTCAGTTTTGTTAGTTTTCATCATAAGCGCGGAATTGAATCATCTTTCTTTAGATGATCATAAAACTTAAATCTCAAAAACTAATTTTTCCTTCTTTATCATGTAGCTATGAAGTTACTATTTTTTTCTGTCTATTGCAAACAACTTGAAGCATTAATCTCATAAAATCTATTAAATGTTCAAGGCAGTAAAATAATCCTTCACTCAACTCAGAAAACTTAATGCTAAAAATAACGCAGTTCATTTTTGATGAAATAGGTTTTAAGTAAAATATTTAAAATTTTTTCATGCAATGAAAGATCGCTACTCTGCTTCTTTCACTTCTAACATTTCGAAGTCTATAATCAAGACATATATTCACTTATATCATGCGTATGTTATAGACATGTGTAAATATTAACTGACTACGGATTCCTGTTTCTTGAAATTTTCCAATCAGTTCCAAGTTTCATTTCATAGCTGAACGTAGTATGATAATATCCACCACATTTGTAGTTGTTTGGATTAGTAATGTCATTCGTATACAATGTTTTAGATTGCACTACTAATAAAGACTCAATAACGGTTTTCAAATGCAAACGTATACAAATGCTGAAATAAAATCGTCTAATCAGTTCTTACTTATTTATGTCCAAGTCAGTGTAATATGTATTTAGTTGGGAAGCTCCAAAATCGAGACGTGTATTGCATGAAAACTGCTAGCTTTCTGCTGTTCATCATTTTATTATAAACTATCAAAATGAAATTCAACTCACCAGTGATATATACCTTCCCAGTAAAATGCACTATTTTAACTTGAGGTTAGCTTAAACGTGTAAGTGCACCACTTAACATCAAACTGTACGATTGGTACCGCAATCCAGTTGTAACAGGCAGGTTCAGTATAACTGCTTACTTAGGTCTTTGAACATTTTACCAACAACCTAAGCCGAAACTTTGACCACTTGATTAGGTCTGACGATTAAAACATATTTTATTTAAAAATATTTTTAAAGACAAGTGAATCGAGAGACTATGTAGTCATACATCATTAAGCGTTGAATAGATTATGTTTGCCGCTGAATGTCGAAGTTAGGAGAATGCACTTTCTACAAAATCGCATCCTAAAAACATGATGCATTCATTGTACCGTAGTTTTATTTTAAAAACATTTACTGTCTGCATCAGATCTGAAATAGATTTCCTAACAGAAAAGTGCCGTAAACTAACACCTTAAAAATGTCACCAAAACATGAGTGATAATCTGCATTACTTATGTGATGTGCAATTTTGGAGTGGACCTAGAACGCAATACTTTTGGTGATGTTCGATTCTGTACTGTAAGTGCATTAGAAAAAATTGCTTCGCCGAAACATTTTCTTATGTTTATATTTGGATATATATCGCTAAAAATATTTTCACCATTTTGTTCCAACAACTTCGTAAATCAACTTATAATGTAGTTGAAAGTGTGTCAGTTACCGAAAGCACCACAGTCCATACCTATCACATTAGTTATGATGATGGTAATCTATTATTGATAATGTCGGTCGTGAAATGTACCGTATCTAATTCTTTATTTCGCTATTCATAACCTTACCGGAAACATTGATTTTCAACTCTGGAAAGGTTTTCCATACCAACAATATCAGTAATGTATTTGTTCTTAAGATACATGTAACTGAACTTATTTTCTTTGGTTAGCTTATGCTAGTTATTTATGACAGGAAACCATATTCAAAGCATGCAAATTCAACTGTGCCATTCAGACGCTTTGAATATTATCCTGGCGAGATTTTGTTCGAAAAAGTAGAAATATCTCATTATTCGGCAGCCAACTGTAATTAAAGTGCTTTGAATTAGACCTAATTACTAACATTATTTCGTTTGTACTGATGAAGTTTGATACTATTAATTTCAACGAAAATGACCCAGTAACTCAATAGTAACACCATGAGCCCTGTTTTCACCTAATCCAACTTCGTCCAGCTTGGCACGTAGGGGTAGGTGATGGCTCGACATGCGCATTTTATGTCCAAGTCATCCCAGTCAATGAAGGTTCATGAACTCATCTATAGACTTGCCTGCGTTACTTAGTACCCTTCGACTGATTTCCAAACAAAAATCCGTGAATACCCTCAAACTAATCTGAAAAATTATAATAAGGAGCTAGACAAAACAGCCCAATGGCAGTTGACCTCTGTTGCTATCAATAAAATTTAGGATGAATACTTTGGTTCAGTCTAGTTCCATTGATATACCAGTTCCCTGCTAATTTGTTTGCTATATAATTCACAATGCATAACGGTATTATTCACTAGTTATTGTTAAAATAATCAGCAGAAAAAAGTATAGTGAATTATACGTCACCATAGTGCTTTAGTTAAATTCTTAAATTATGCATCTGCTGACCGTTATTACTATTTATTCCTTGGATTCCTAGTGGAACGAACCGCTTCAGCAACACGTCTCCATTTCACTCTCTTCTCTGCAGTCTTTTCAAACTGCCTCCACGACTCCCAGCCCAGAAACTTTCATTTCTCACTCATACGATCTCCTCCATGTCACCCTCGACTCGAACACCCAACTCGTCATCCCCCATTTCGATTCCACTCAACGGCTTAGCGTACCGCGTGATGTCCTTAATTGGACTTCTCAGTGCATGCCCAATCCAATCTATCTCCAGAGTTCCTTGTTGTTTATTCCGATTACTATACTAGCCATCTGATCTTCAGTGTCGAGTGAGCGAGCGAGCGTAGGTGGCAGCTATTGACGGTTCATGTCTCTAGTTTCTTTGAAGTGCATTTCGTGACACGCAAAGTTTGTCAAGCATAAAGCAGCACTGACTTGACTGATATTATTGTTGAAAATCTCGATCTCGTTCTGTATCCTGGGTTGAGTGCAGTCGATCTCCACATTAAATTCAGATTAATGAAGAAAGGCCTGTCTTACAGTGTTTCCTATCCTGGCTGGCTTTGATGCCCTTATCTGTGCCTGGGCCACCGCCTGTAGGTGAAACGATGCTGCCTAGGGCAGGAAGGTGAAAGAGACTACTGCCTCTAGGTTTCTCACGTTCATGGTGATTGATGCTTGTTGTTGTTGATATTCTTGTTGATTGGGTATCTTCACCACCTATGTCTGTCCTACGTTCACCTCAAGGAAGTCCCGTCTTCCCTGAGCTGTCTCTTCCACCAACTTGTTGCTTTTGTCTGTAGATATTCGAGTTTGTGCAACAAGACATTGGATAGAAATTATCATCAGCGAAATCCAAATCTGCTAGGGTCTCTTCATCGGTCAAACAGCGCATGCCCATCTTCTCGCTCCTCACGATTTGCTGCATGATCAAGTCCACCACAATCAGGAATATCACGGGTGAAAGTAGACAGCCTTGTCTTACTCCTGTCTTCAATTCAAAGGCATCACTGAGCTTCCCATTGTGGATCACCCAGCATGTGGCGTCTTCATATAGCTGTTGAATGAGATTGATAAAGGTTTGTGGCACTCCATAGTGTTGAAGTCAAAGTACATCTCAGTCGACGCTGTCGAGGGCCATTTCAAAGTCGATGTAGTTGAGGTAGAGTTGAGTTGACTGCCATCACATATTCTGTTCTATGGTGATGCGTAGCCTAGCGTTGCAATTTGATCTGCACATGATTTGTACTTGCCGATTCCAGCCTATTCCGGCCGTAATTTTTTTGAATGCAGAGCATCCATTCAACCTCTCCAGGATGATGCGGCTTAGTATTTTGATTGGGGTGGACAGCAGCATGATTCCTCGCCAGTTCTTGCAAACACTTAAGTCTCCTTTCTTTGAGGCGTTTGGTAAGGTTGACCTTCTTCCAATCAGTCGACAGGTACCTTTCCTTCCTTCCTCACAAATCTTCTAAAGTGGTGGTGTGAGCATATCCGCTGTTGTCTCTGCGTCTGTTCTCAGTGCTTCTGGTGGGATTCCACATGGTCCTGCCGCTTTACAGCATTTCAGTAGCCTCATGGCATTCAGGACTTCACTTGTGCTTTTGTCGGAGGGTTGTGTTCACTGGTGGTGGTTCTGTAGCAGAGCTGCTGGTGATGTGTCTGGACGAGTTGCAGATGGTGATGGTGGTCGATTCAAGAGTTTTCTGAAGTGGTCAGTCCATCGTTTCCTTTGTTTCTCTTCTCTGGTAATTAGATTTCCTTCATCATACTTTACTGGTTTCATCTGCACTGTGTTGATCTCTCCTCAGATAGTAAGTAACCTAGTTATTTGATACAATGTTGTCAGTTCTCTGTCTCTCTGACCTGAAGCCAGCTCTGCCTCACTTGCCAGTGTGTTGTAGAAGTGTCTTTTGTCTTTGTGCGCACTCTTCTTCACTTCTTCGTCCAGTGAAGTGTTGTATAGGTTGTATTCAGTTCCTGTTTTCGTTGTTCATCCCTGCAATGCACTGGTCCATCTTCTGCTTTACTAGCTTCTTCTCCCTGCTCTATCAGCTTCCATGTGTGCTTCGAGATTCATTCTTTGTTCTGTTGCTTCTTCCTTCCTAATACGCTAATGCAGGTTTCCATCCACGTCGCTTATACAGAGTTCGAAGTGTTCTTTCACACAGATTTCTTCACGGATGCTCCTCGATACCTCCCATTTTGTTCTGATGGCTGGCTGACCTGAAGATGTCCTATATAGTTTCATCCCTAACTTCAGTTTCTGCTCTGGGTGTTGAACCACAACTTTGATCTATCACCACCAGCTCCTTTCACGGCTTTCAACTTCACTTTGAAGATAGGCTCCTGACACAAGCTAGTGAGTGGTGTGAACCCACATCTGCTACCCTTCTTCATCTCATCTTGTCTGCAGTAGGCTGACTATGTCTTCACTTTCTTCACATTGAGATGAAGTCAATCTGATTTTTAGTGCAGTGTATCCATCTGGCGAATAGTGGGATCCATGTCACTGTCTTGTGATCATCCTTGTATGTGTACACACTGCCTGACTCCAATCACCAAGTCGCTGAATGATCAGAATTCTGCAAACAGTTCTCCATTCTCCTTCATCATTTCACCGAGTGTTTCCCGACACACAATGACTTCTCTTCCTGTGTTGTCCACTCCCAGTCTGGCATTCATGTCACCCCACCCATCAGAATTTTGATGTCGCCAACTGGGCTGGGTTCTTTCCAGTATTGATTTCAGTTGTCTGTGGGACTCCTCCTTCTTCGCTTCATCTGCATTATTTGTTCCTGCGTAGCATTGAATGATTGTGAATTTCCTCCCTTCCATTTGAGTTAAATCCACCTTGCTGTCATGATCCTGTGTAAGAGCCTTCGGTGTTCTTGGAGACATCATGATATCCACTCCAAAACTCAGTGTGCTCGTTCGTGGCTGTCGTCTGTGGGACAATGTCGGAGTGGATTATTGACTCTCCAGTTGACAGTTAGGAGAGTCCACTTCCATTTCACCTGCTTTCGCAGATTTCTAGCATTTCAATACTATACCTTCTCATTTCTTTTGCAATCTGGGCAGCCTTGCTAGGTTCAAACATAGTGTGGGCATTCCATGTCCACATGTTTACTTTCGTTTTCATCAAGCACGAGGAGACACATCAACCAATTGGCTTCCCGAAGGCTTCCACCAACCGACGTCATTCCGTCTCTCCGATTCCAGCGAGGAGTGAATTTGTTATTATTGTTTATAATTTCTTTGTGCATTGAAGTTTCTCTAGTGATTGAATTGGTTTTACGGGGTAGGGTTTGGTGGCCTTTTGCCGACCCTTCCCTCTTTATCCGGGCTACGGACTGGTTAGTAACTAGTGAACTACTTAACTAGGTGAGGTCCTAGTGCCTCTTACTAATTGGGAATTTCTATTGTTCTGTGTATGAGTTATATTCAAGTGTCATCAAGGATGTATGCAAACATAGAAGACTGGTACAATACTGCTGTCATATACTTCAGTGTCTTACACTGTTTTCCAAAGTATAGATTTATGTACATACTAAAGATGTCATTCAGCCTGGTATGACTCAGTACATTTGACATTGAACAGTTGGCTTACGAATGGTACATTACCGTAACCTCCCTTGAATGTGTGAAGGTTAAATCGTGTGGAAAAGCATCTTAGCTTCACAAAATGATCTACAAACTCCGAATAGAATCAGCGACAGGTTTCCATACCAGTCAGGATTAAAATGATACTGAGATCATGAAAATAGTTCAGAAAACATTTTTTGACTACAAATGAGGATATTTGCTTGGAATGTCCCATATGGTATGAAGTTTTATTAAAACGGGTTTAACCATCCCATCAACTGGATGTCTCTTAATAATCCCAGCCATAACTTATTGAATTACAAACGCACCCACGTGAACACAAGTTTAGTTTGTACGATTAATCATATTTGTTTATGTACATCTACGTTTCCAAACATGCTGAAAAAAACACAATCACTCTAACCTCGCCGAATACTAATGAGTGATAAAAAATCCTCTATTTTGAATCTGTGAGTTGGTGGTATGTTTAGGTTTATTCCATTTGCTACCGCAGTATGCAACAACTCTACGGCTTTCGTTCACTGAATTAGCGATGTTCACTGCTCCGAAGAATGTCACACTCAATTTCATACTGCAGTGGGGTTCTGAAGAAACATTTTTACCGTAAATTTAAGGTTTTCTTCGAGCTTTGCAAACTGCATCCTTCACTCATTTCATCTCAACTGTGTAACATACACAGCAAGAAAAACTAGTTCATGAACTTTTATCCTTCTGAAAAGCAGTCCTATAACTACATTTTCATTATTGCAAGACGGCCAATCTGTATTAGGTTTATTTATTCAATACGGCATACAGTGGTGCAGTACAACTTAGCTGAAAGCTTTTAGAGCCTCATTTGATGTTCATAGTTATATCGCAGTGATCACATAACTTCTTGAATTGATTAACATTGTCGCATTTTCTTTCACTATTTGGCTTTGGTGGTAATCGAATATGTATTTCTGAAATGGATGTTGACTCATTTCTGTTGTGAACTCGACGAATAAGAATTTTAGTAGTTCAAATGTTCTAAAAACAAGAATTATCTGGATGAGCATTTGTTCGCCATAACTTTATACTTATTAATCTGTGAAAAGTTCCGCGAAGTAGCTGTAGTACAGTATAAAGGAAATTAAGTTTAAACGAGAAGTGTAATGACTAGACGCAACCAGATGCAGTCAGAATAAATGTGAAGTAGAAATAGGATTAATCAAAACTATGATTCAAATACATATGTCATAGGTAGTTATCCTTGACGTGAGACTACATAACTGAAAAATGTAAACATGACGTAGTGAAACTTAGTGTAGATTTTGGAGGATTAGTTACAATCACTAGGATGAAGATCATGGGCAAAAAAATTGTCCTAGTATGAAAAGCTTTGTTTAAGAGTATGAGATGACTAACCTTGGAAATAGTTGCTGTATGCATTTTAAAATGTTAATGACAAAGTCAACATATTACGTAAATGAATTGTAAGAAAGAAAGCGAAACGACATAGAAGAACAATAGGTTCGGGTTTATCACGTGCCTAAACACAAGTTTTTCCTGTACAATATCAGAGGCTGAATGCACTTATTTCACCAAGTAAGTACGGATTACTCTAATTGATTTCCATTGCTTCAGCTATGTATAGTAGACTTAGTCATTGGGACGTTTAAAGTGACATACACTTGGCCGTCACTGACAATATTTCCTTAAATTTGTGTTACCTATAGCCTGGTTTGATAAATAGCATGCTGTTTGATGGCGTTTAAAGTTCGGCTTCATTCAACTAACATATTATTACATCACTCTCCATACCCTTCTTAAAGTCCAATGGCAGAAATAAAGTTCTCTTATTTGCAGCCTCTGTGTTTACTTCGCTAGAACGTCTAGACAAGTATTCTTCTACAAAATTAATTGACCGCTCATTTTGAAGTAATGTTTTTTTAACTTTGCCATCTACTCACCTATGCAGTCTGATTTCTTCCCAACTGAGTAGGCTTGAAGTAATGAAGATAGAAACACTCCTCATTACAAGTAGTCTGTTTGAATACATTCTATTTTATGGAGACATCTCGATTTTTTAAAAAGAGGGTTGCTGGATTTAACACATTGTTTTTCCCCAAGGGTAAGTTTGAAGGCGAGACAGATATCTTTTTCAAATCACTGAAATCCTTTTCAGTGTCCGAAATCATATTCTTAGACATCAGTTTTGAAAATTAAATTAAATTTACTTTGTAGGCGTAAAGTATTAACAAAGGCGAAATCCTTGGGGCCATTTGTCCGTAATCTTAATGAACTTCGTGAATGACGACTTATTGAGTTGGAAAGAAACGTTTCACAAAAGAAACTGCTGTTGATGAACTTTCTTGACATCAGAAGCAATAATAGTGGAATGCTGTAATGAAGTTTTGGAAACAGGATGGAAAACGACGAATAGGTAAATACAATAAATATAAACTAGTTTTTCTAATGGGCTTGACCAATAATTTTTAAAATTTTTCATGGTCACTTCATAATAAATAGCAGAAACTTCTGCCTATTGGTAGTACATTTTATGACAACGTGAACAGATTTGCAATTTGAAAACATTTTCATTTAAATATAAGATTTATTTTAGCCTTCCTAATGTGATAAAGAGTTATCTAAAGGCATCCTTAGTGATTCGTATTATTGAAGAAGCCATTGTAATAACTACAGAGATATCTAATGTCCGGTTATTTCTGTTCACGTATTGGTAAATCTAACCATGTATACTCTAATTATTTTTTTTCACTAAGTGAAACAATGATATCAACCCTGTGAATAAAGTGAAAAGCATATTTCTGAGAACTAATTGTTATCCACAACCTACAACTGTTTCATTCACTGAAGTGGAAATCAGAATCAACATTTTTCACAGTTCATCATTATAAACAAACGATCGAGATGTGCTTAATAACCATTACGCTTCCAGTATTTCAACATGACACTTCGACAACGTTTACACACTGAATCGCTTTACAACTTCAGCAAAGATTCTTCGATAGTAAATTTTCTGCCCGGCAGAAAGTTGTGTATTACTACTTACCAGTAGTTCAAAGCTGTCCTCCTTAGTCGATGAGCCATCATGCTGATAAATAAATTTTTCTGATAACACCCCGCTAATTATACCAGGGATAACTGTTCCAGTCTCTACCAGTTTTGATCCAAACCAAAGTGACCCGTGTTGAGTTGTTTTGACAATTTTAAACTAGGCATATAAAAGAAAAATACTCATCACATAGCTTGTTTAATGTGAATTTATTAAGAGAAAATAAATTTAGCGTTGAAAAATACCATACCATAACCCGACATGCCTATAGTTTATAAACTCTAAACACGAATGTTTATTTCTTTTGAACGTATGAAGAATAGGACAGATTATGCATACTAGTTTACTATCAAAAGTTGAAGTATGAAGTTAGTGGAAATTTCAAATGAAAAGTTTCAAGATATAGTACTTGGAAGAGCGACCACAATATAAAGCCATGATGAGATAAGCGTTCAATTAAGAAAAACAGATCGGATCTTCTTTGAAGAAATCGAAGTTATCTACCAGTGAATTGGTGAAAAAAGTTAAAAGAAATCCGGTTTTTTCTAAGTATATTCATTTTATGTCCCCTGAACACCCTAAATATATGAGTCAAACAAAGAATAAATGTAATGTGTACAATAGATTAGGCTTTCTAGATAGAAAGAAAGTTTATTAGAAGTAAAATTATACTTATATTGCGGATTGGGTTCATCCGTCTAACACCTCCCAAAGTGCATTGCAATGTTAAATCACCTAGCCTGGTGACCACATTGTAAAATGATAGATCTACTTCGACTGGCATTTGAGTTCAGACAACATGAAGTTGGTTACCCTAGAGTGATCAAACAGTGCGCCTAACCCAGTCCTACAGGAGATTAGTCACAACCCAAATACCTCAGTGGTAACCTATCTGTCTGAACCACTGGGTGATGCGGATTCGAACCTCAGATGAGACATCAATCCAATAGAGGTTGCAGACACACCTTGCTGACGAGTGGCAACAAATGGGAAACTTAGGTACACAGCTTCCTGCTTACTGCCTCCATACAACTAAAAATGCAAATATCTCCTTCATATTGAGTAAGTAAAAAAGGAGAAATGAGCAGAAAGACATAAAAAAATATGGGAACTTACACTTTTACTCTCGGACCCATTACTTTCCAACAGTCCTCTCACTTGATCTGTATTTATATCCCTCGATGTTATTTCAGCAACATGGCCATTATAGGCTACTAATGGATGTATTTTCAACAGACGATTTTGATTATATTTCAATATGTAGTTGTAGGATATAGAAACTGAACCAAATATAATCTGGGACAATAACTGTTTCGCATAATCATGATAATTAATTATGTCACTGATTCTATTAGGATTATTATCTTTCACACCACTGTGCAAGTTGTTATTGTGATTAACATAATTCTCTTCATCTACAGTAATATTGCCTTTTACTATGCTTGCACTAATGATATATTCATCCTCGATATCAGAATTAAGCTGCAATAAAACATGTTGCTTTTTATCTTCAAGCCAATTTTCTGGATGAAATACGTAGGCTATTCTCCTTGTACTGATATCTTCCTGTCAAATTAAGAGATAAAGGAAAAACAGTTGATTAGCGAAAGAGTCCTATTTGATGATCTATCTTTTCTCTTCGCAGGACGAATAAAACTGTCCAGCAATGTGAGTTTGTGTTGGCCAAATGATTTGAAAACGAAGAGTAAATTTGTGCATTCATAACATTCTTTTCATTTATTATCGTTGTATGGATTTTAGTTTTCCTACCGAATATGCAAACGAAAAAGTACAGACTTAACCCTTAAGTACTAAATTTCTCCTTGAGAAGAAAGTAGTTTGCAGTCTCAAATGAAATGGTTAACATTAGTTTGAGTAACCAAAGGCAACCTGGAAATTCACACTGAGTATGTTAGTCCCAGCTAAATCTATGAATTTTCAGGTTGGAAAATTGTGAATATGCAGAAACTGAATGCTTTCCAAAATATATTCAACTGTCAGTCTGTGAACACTGACCTACGCCTAGTTTCACAATTGAATGAACCCCTATCCTCAGTGCGCATTTTGTATTCTTCCTTTTGAGGTGAACCGAAGACTTGTATTTATCACAACACAATCCGCAGTTATGAAATCAGCTACAGGAGATTGTTTCTTTAATGAGCACCATAACTTCAAAACAACATTACAGATGCTTACAAACTAACGAAAACTAGTTTAACTAACAGTCGACATTTATTGCTGGTCTTTTAGCGTTGGGATCATGACCTGACCTTGGGTGCATGTAAACATTCACATAGTTTGAACAATTGTCTCACATTTTAACTGTTAATTTGAATGATTCACTTTAATATAGGTAAACCGTTTTCTAGAACTTTCTACCAACTCTAAATGAGGAAAAACTGAGCATTCTGAATTAAATTGCATAACAACTTTCAGGAATGACAGTCGTATTGAAGTTGAATTAAGATACCAAAATTTCTAACATTTCTTCTAGGCTTTTACCAATTGACTAGTCAGTATTGTAAGATTTTTCAATATATTAGGCCGCGATAAATTTTGGCAATAGTCTGTGAATTATTGAGTGAATAGAGGTATTGTGAATTGACTCATGAAAGATAATTACAAATCATTTGGATGTTCTGATCATAAAAATACATCGGGAAAATTATTGATTCACTAAAAAGTGCATTGAATTTTGAGAAAATTAGTCTACACAGAGCATACTCATTGAAAGATTGACTAATAAGTGCCTAACGTTTCGACTACGCGAGTAATTTTCGGTTACTGGATTGAAATATCAATGTTTTCCGTATTCTTAACACCGGGAAGCATAACTTCATACCTGTAAACAGCACTAAAACAGTCTCTGTCGATTAACCCCAAACACCTTGGGTTTCTGAACATTAAAATTTAGTAAATATCTATTGCTGAATTTTCTTTGTGGTAACCAATTCAACCTTTAAGTGTGTCAGACTACTCAACCTCCATGTGGTTTATGATTTGTTCCTGAAAACAGGAAACACAAAATCCACAGCTTTCCTTCCACTGAAACAGATTTATCTAGTATTGTTAAAAACGTCGTACACTAATTATTTACTACATTGAACTTTTCTCAAAATGGGACAACTGACTATAGCACTTGTGTTTGAGTCATTTCATAACAAAGGTTGCATAGATTTTAAGCATCCCCCTGTTCACGTTAATAAGCAATGATAAAACGAATCGACGAACTATTATTTTGTCTCTTGATCGTCACATGTTTATCTGACCAGCCTGCGTAACGTTTTGCGCTAAGTCACAATATTTAAATGTTACACTACAAGTTATAGATTTGATGTAATATTTCACGTTTTATCTTCGACCATAGAATGAATGTTTTTGGTTAACCTTACTAAAATACATTATGTGAATTGCCAGATGCTTGATCCTGATTACAATCCAGTCTCCAGAAATCTTAAGTCATATATACCATACATATTAGCAACCAAACTGAAAATCGTGGCTGAATTTATGGAACGTTACATTTCTGTCCCGAAAAATATGTACAGTCAACAAGCTTAAAAGAATGAGAAGATATAAAGATTCACGAATTTCTGTGTACGAAAAATTAAGCAACGTGTAATATCATAGAAGTACTACAAGTTCAATCGTTAAAAAGTAGCTGTACCTGTGTAAATTCTGTAATTCTCTCATTCCTATTTTGAAAGAATTTCCCTTTAGTTCCGCTTAATTTAATCAAAAATCCATATCTTGGTTGAGACAGAATTTTGTAAACCACATAGAGGCCTAGTTCACTATCGATGCCATATTCATTTGATATTGATTTCATTGAAGAAACATTCACTGAACTATCTTCCTTCAATATAAGTGAACTTGTCTCATAATTTGGAGGTATTTGCGCAATAAATTTGATTTGTACATTCATATGGTCGGGTGTAATAATCTCAAATCTATTTCAAAAAGTTCAGTGAATATAATACAAATTAGATTTGTCCATTAAAAAACACATGCATTTTAAGTGACAAAATAGAATGCACTGTGAATCACTCTACAAAATAATCGATTATAAAGACAAAATAAGAGTTGAAGCTACGTTTGTAATACTTCATTCTGCCATTGTTTCTTATTTTTGAAAATTTAAAGACAAAAAGCTTGTGCGTTTTCAATGGAAAAGCAGTCAGCTGATAAACGATTTAGAGTTTTGTGTAAAACTGGTTTTCATAAAAAGTGGAAACTTTCATTGCACAACTGCTAGAAGTTTAACGTAAAGCGAAAGTGAAATAATTAGTCACTTTGAATAATGAGCTCACCTCACAGTGACTCATTGGATAGAATGACGAATAAAAACTTCGAAAATACCGTTTACGTAAAGATTGTTATGCTATACAGCCACAGAAATTTTCAAATCAGACTTTCGATCTCTCAGTAACTTTGAATTACACATGTACAGTAAACAGACAGTAGGACTTTTGAGAAAAGTTTTTATACGACATAATTACAACTGTAATGGTTAATTATATGAAAGTTAAAACAGTCAGATCTTACCCTTTAGGAAACGCTAATAATGTATTGTTACTTCTGATATCCAGCTGTACTGTTCCAGGAATTATTTGAAATTGATAAATTTCTGATCGGTGTAAATTGTACGTCAAAACGAAAGCAAAGCCGCAAATCTTTCCTTTTTGTAAACCTACAGACATGTTTGAAGGATATACTAGTAAATGGAACATGCATAAGTGAACAATTCAGAACAAATGACACTGTGAATGGATTAATCCAAACTATACTCCAGAATAACCCGTCAGCAAACAGAAACACGAAATAAATTTATTTGTCTCACAGATAAGCATGCGAAACTGAAGTTGTTAACCTCAGTGAAATAACACCGCATTTGATATAGTTCAAATATTTGTAATAAGTATGTGGGTCTGATGGTAGATTCTGTCACAGTAATTGTGTGCATAGGAGAATCTTTCGGAAAACGTTCTTAAAGGACACGTCATCTACGACCATAATACAAGTATATTAATTGAAAGAAAGCTTATGTGAACTGTCTCAGAAAGTTTATCGTGTTATTTTCTTAATGAAAAATATTGTTGTAAACTAGCCGAAATCCGTAAGAACTACGACTGGAACTCTGAGATCCAACCAAGAAGAACAAGAAAGGTATATGTATGTTTACACCAACCAGCGATTCTAAGTAGCCCCACACCCCAGCTTGCGAAGTTCAACGTAATCTTTCAGAAGGTGTGGGGAACGCCTACTTTGTATTCTTGAAGCTTTGGTAATGTAACAGTCAAGACACGAATTGTGCATCGGGAAGCGAAGCTTCCAAGCTCTATTCACTTCCCAGTTCTTAAACTTCTCTTATAAAACTCCTATTTTTATGTCATTTTCATCGCCACAACCTACTGACAATCATTAAATGACAAATATCGATACTTTTACGCGCACTATAATTAGATGAGACTGTACTGCTCCTGAAGATGATATCATTGGAAATAAACTTGTTCACCGAAGTCTTTATTCTTTGATGACTCAATGAGGATTTGGAGAACTTTCTATATAGCTCAACCAATGAGTAAGAAACAATTCGGTCAAAGTCATTCCACAAAATAACGAATAACCGTATTTACAGCAGCTAGTTAAAGTAACAAAATCACAATAGCATTTTGAAAGCACAAATAATAAGATTATAGCACCAGTCGCAATGAGATAAAACAAGCATAACCTATGTTTAACGCATGAGAGTATTTTACGAAAGATGAATTTATCTTCTAATCAAAATGCATTAGTGAAGTCTGCTGGTTAGGGGTATTCAGTCACCACACATGTGCATTTAAAAGACAAAACAGTTGCCCAACATGGCTAACTGCCGCCCTAGCAACTGCTGAAATGCTTAAACAGGTTTCAGAATTCAGACTCGGAAAGTGACAATTCGTAAAATACAGGAATGTCATTGGTTATCTCAACCTTGTCTGACTAAGTAGTTCACTAGTTACTAACCAGTCCGTAGCCCGGATAAAGAGAGAAGGGTCGGCAAAAGGCCACCAAACCCTACCCCGTAAAACCAATTCAATCACTAGAGAAACTTCAATGCACAAAGAAATTATAAACAATAATAACAAATTCACTCCTCGCTGGAATCGGAGAGACGGAATGACGTCGGTTGGTGGAAGCCTTCGGGAAGCCAATTGGTTGATGTGTCTCCTCGTGCTTGATGAAAACGAAAGTAAACATGTGGACATGGAATGCCCACACTATGTTTGAACCTAGCAAGGCTGCCCAGATTGCAAAAGAAATGAGAAGGTATAGTATTGAAATGCTAGAAATCTGCGAAAGCAGGTGAAATGGAAGTGGACTCTCCTAACTGTCAACTGGAGAGTCAATAATCCACTCCGACATTGTCCCACAGACGACAGCCACGAACGAGCACACTGAGTTTTGGAGTGGATATCATGATGTCTCCAAGAACACCGAAGGCTCTTACACAGGATCATGACAGCAAGGTGGATTTAACTCAAATGGAAGGGAGGAAATTCACAATCATTCAATGCTACGCAGGAACAAATAATGCAGATGAAGCGAAGAAGGAGGAGTCCCACAGACAACTGAAATCAATACTGGAAAGAACCCAGCCCAGTTGGCGACATCAAAATTCTGATGGGTGGGGTGACATGAATGCCAGACTGGGAGTGGACAACACAGGAAGAGAAGTCATTGTGTGTCGGGAAACACTCGGTGAAATGATGAAGGAGAATGGAGAACTGTTTGCAGAATTCTGATCATTCAGCGACTTGGTGATTGGAGTCAGGCAGTGTGTACACATACAAGGATGATCACAAGACAGTGACATGGATCCCACTATTCGCCAGATGGATGCACTGCACTAAAAATCAGATTGACTTCATCTCAATGTGAAGAAAGTGAAGACATAGTCAGCCTACTGCAGACAAGATGGGATGAAGAAGGGTAGCAGATGTGGGTTCACACCACTCACTAGCTTGTGTCAGGAGCCTATCTTCAAAGTGAAGTTGAAAGCCGTGAAAGGAGCTGGTGGTGATAGATCAAAGTTGTGGTTCAACACCCAGAGCAGAAACTGAAGTTAGGGATGAAACTATATAGGACATCTTCAGGTCAGCCAGCCATCAGAACAAAATGGGAGGTATCGAGGAGCATCCGTGAAGAAATCTGTGTGAAAGAACACTTCGAACTCTGTATAAGCGACGTGGATGGAAACCTGCATTAGCGTATTAGGAAGGAAGAAGCAACAGAACAAAGAATGAATCTCGAAGCACACATGGAAGCTGATAGAGCAGGGAGAAGAAGCTAGTAAAGCAGAAGATGGACCAGTGCATTGCAGGGATGAACAACGAAAACAGGAACTGAATACAACCTATACAACACTTCACTGGACGAAGAAGTGAAGAAGAGTGCGCACAAAGACAAAAGACACTTCTACAACACACTGGCAAGTGAGGCAGAGCTGGCTTCAGGTCAGAGAGACAGAGAACTGACAACATTGTATCAAATAACTAGGTTACTTACTATCTGAGGAGAGATCAACACAGTGCAGATGAAACCAGTAAAGTATGATGAAGGAAATCTAATTACCAGAGAAGAGAAACAAAGGAAACGATGGACTGACCACTTCAGAAAACTCTTGAATCGACCACCATCACCATCTGCAACTCGTCCAGACACATCACCAGCAGCTCTGCTACAGAACCACCACCAGTGAACACAACCCTCCGACAAAAGCACAAGTGAAGTCCTGAATGCCATGAGGCTACTGAAATGCTGTAAAGCGGCAGGACCATGTGGAATCCCACCAGAAGCACTGAGAACAGACGCAGAGACAACAGCGGATATGCTCACACCACCACTTTAGAAGATTTGTGAGGAAGGAAGGAAAGGTACCTGTCGACTGATTGGAAGAAGGTCAACCTTACCAAACGCCTCAAAGAAAGGAGACTTAAGTGTTTGCAAGAACTGGCGAGGAATCATGCTGCTGTCCACCCCAATCAAAATACTAAGCCGCATCATCCTGGAGAGGTTGAATGGATGCTCTGCATTCAAAAAAATTACGGCCGGAATAGGCTGGAATCGGCAAGTACAAATCATGTGCAGATCAAATTGCAACGCTAGGCTACGCATCACCATAGAACAGAATATGTGATGGCAGTCAACTCAACTCTACCTCAACTACATCGACTTTGAAATGGCCCTCGACAGCGTCGACTGAGATGTACTTTGACTTCAACACTATGGAGTGCCACAAACCTTTATCAATCTCATTCAACAGCTATATGAAGACGCCACATGCTGGGTGATCCACAATGGGAAGCTCAGTGATGCCTTTGAATTGAAGACAGGAGTAAGACAAGGCTGTCTACTTTCACCCGTGATATTCCTGATTGTGGTGGACTTGATCATGCAGCAAATCGTGAGGAGCGAGAAGATGGGCATGCGCTGTTTGACCGATGAAGAGACCCTAGCAGATTTGGATTTCGCTGATGATAATTTCTATCCAATGTCTTGTTGCACAAACTCGAATATCTACAGACAAAAGCAACAAGTTGGTGGAAGAGACAGCTCAGGGAAGACGGGACTTCCTTGAGGTGAACGTAGGACAGACATAGGTGGTGAAGATACCCAATCAACAAGAATATCAACAACAACAAGCATCAATCACCATGAACGTGAGAAACCTAGAGGCAGTAGTCTCTTTCACCTTCCTGCCCTAGGCAGCATCGTTTCACCTACAGGCGGTGGCCCAGGCACAGATAAGGGCATCAAAGCCAGCCAGGATAGGAAACACTGTAAGACAGGCCTTTCTTCATTAATCTGAATTTAATGTGGAGATCGACTGCACTCAACCCAGGATACAGAACGAGATCGAGATTTTCAACAATAATATCAGTCAAGTCAGTGCTGCTTTATGCTTGACAAACTTTGCGTGTCACGAAATGCACTTCAAAGAAACTAGAGACATGAACCGTCAATAGCTGCCACCTACGCTTGCTCGCTCACTCGACACTGAAGATCAGATGGCCAGTATAGTAATAAGAATAAGCGACAAGGAACTCTGGTTGGCTGGCAACGAACCAACGAGGCAAGAAACTATCGCCCAGCAAATTTGCAGACGGAGAAAGTGGGGATGGATTAGATTGAGCACATACTGAGAAGTCCAATCGGGCATCACACGATAGGCCAAGCCGTTGAGTGGAATCCAAATGAGCAACGAGGAGTTGGGTGTCCGAGTCGAGGGTGACATGGAGTAGATAGTGTGAAGAATAAATGGGTGCTTGTGGACAGTCTTGCAGCCAGGTTCTAAAGATTGCAGAGAGGATAGTGGGATGGAGACGTGCTGCTGAAGCCCTATGTTCCACTAGAAATCCAAAGGACAAATAATAATAATAATATTGGTTATCTCTTGAGTTTTTAGGGTGAACTTTAAAGTCACTCCTTATCCGAGCTACTTTTCGTTCACCAGACTTGTCGAAGACAATTTCATACCTTGACATAAATACGAGTGTCATTACGGCCACCCAAACAACTATGGTAATAACCGACTGAGTCTTTTTCTTTCGTTCAAAACTTTCTTAAATGGAAAAATGAATAGTTTATTTCCTGAGTAGTTACGGCGAACGCGGAAGCCTCTTTATAAATGTATCCCATACAATTGGTTCCAGTTATGAGTTTTAAAAAACGGTAAGGGGACATATTTCGTCTGCATCAGATAAATGCGTTCAGTAAACAACTAACATTACGTACCGAATAGTTTGGATACTACTGTATATTGTTTAGGTTGCCCGGTTTAATTTAATAATATGATACTGTGACATACACACTTAGGATGTTGACCCATTTCTCATTAGAAACATTGTTTGGAATATCAGGTATTTTTAGACCAAGTTTATAAGTAATGCTTTATTATTTGTTCCATAATACATGAAGCAAAGCTGACCAACGTAAACGTTTCAACTAACTTTTCCAACATCAACAACTTCAGCTCCCTTAAACGAAATAAAATAAAAGGTTGGTCTTTAAAACAGCTTTCGCTGTCTTAACAAATGAATAAAGCAATTCACAATACCTAAGCGCAAATACGGGAGTTTTCACCTTGTTCAAGAAAGGTAACACGATACATGAAAAGCAAGGTCAACTAAATATAGAAGAAGTTTAAAAAATGAGTGAAAATGGCGTCCTGAGCATGAAAACAGTCAATTCAAACTTCAAAATTTACGGAAAAGGTCCAGACAAATATTGAGGCACCTTCAAAATAAGATTTGCTGAAAATAAAGTATCTTCTAATAGTGATATCCACTGCTATTTACACAATCGATAACGCAATGAAGAGTTGAGAAATGTGAGTGCCTATGTGACGTGAACTGAGGATTCAACTTTCAGTCTGTGGTTGGAGCTTTTTCAGTTAGTGAAATGAAGGAGAAGATCGACAAAAGTACAAAAAATTAGAATACTGTCAACGTAGGTGTAAAACCTGGGGACTGTGGTAGAATTTAATTCCACATAGATACTCAGTAATAGGTGCAATCGAATTCACTTATAAGGCAGAAAATGGACAAGGAGAATTGCCTATGTTGAATTGCAGGATAAAAAGAAGGACAAACGGTGGTTTGGATTCTATCGTCTACAGAAAAACGACACATTCCGAAAGGTATCTAGACTTCAAGTCGTCCCATCCAATGTCAATTAAGACAGGCTTAGTCAAATGTCTAAGTAGCAGAGCTAGAAAACTGACTAGTCAGCGCAAAGACCTAAACAAGGAATTGAACTAGGAAAAAGAAGCACTAATAGTTTATAATTATCCTCCACAGTTTATTCAGAAATTCGTACAAATACACAAGAAACGAAAAAATTAACAGTAACACGAGTACGAATAATAACGACAAGTAGAAAGGAGTTTACAGTCTCCATTGTGTTTCCCTTTAGGGAAAGTACATCAGAAACTGCGTAGGATCCTCAACAAACCTGGAATTAGGGTGACGTTTAAACCTACAAACTCACTCAGAGATAAGCTTTGTCGGCTGGCTTAAGGATCCGATAGAATCAATCAAGCAAAATAATCTAATCTACCGAATTCCATATAATGATCGTTAGGTCGAGTGCAACAGTCGAACTAACCGGTCAGGGTCAGTTACAATAGCGGAATATACGAATCTAGCTAAATATAGAATAACAGTCCCGAATAAGATCAATAATCTAGAAAACATCTCGGCTATTGCAATGCATCCATTAAAACACAACCATACAATAGGGTGGGATAAATTCACTGTACTTAAATCCAATATAATTAGGTAGAGAGAGAGATTAATTAATAATCACGGAGATACATTGTAAAATTTGCCCATATGAAGGTAAATAATCAGTTAGCACCGGTTGGTCAGAACTACCAAGGCAAAGCAATCAGTTTCCCACCAACAGTATACTTAAAATTACAGCTAGTAATGTATGTACATGGATTTAAATATAAAGATGAGAAGATTGTGGAATGGAATAATATATTATAAGTACATTTTCAATGAAAAGTTTACAAACAACGGTAAGCTTTTATTCCGATAAATTAATAATAAAAAATATTTCAGCTCTTGGTTCACTCACGGGCAGTAATTTTGCTCTAACTACTGCCATAGTAAAAACTTATCAGTATGTGCAAACTTTCCATAAATAGATTGAAGATTTCGACTTTTTTGAAAACGCCATTTATCGTTATAAATTACACCCAATACACACTGATCTCGGCGACTACCAGGATGCGAGTTTCGTCCTATCCGGAACTCATCAGCTGGATTTACCTGCACTCCAGTGAGTGATGTTGTTCCCACTGTGGATAGAACTCAGTACCCATTGCTTCAAACACCAGAGCGTTATCCACCAAGCCGAATCCCAAATAGGAAGAAGTTTTATATGAAGTTTAAATTCGTTTTGGAGTTAATCTTTACCTTATGGCGATTACTTTCTTAAAACAGATTTAATGTGATAAGTGATGATGACTTTTTTAAGCCAATCTAAATACGGATAGCTTATCTGAGCTCAACTAATCAAATTCCGGCAAGTAAGTGTCCTACTCCAATAGGAAAGTATCTTGGCTACACAAACGCATTGACTTTTGAACAGAGGAGTCAGCCAATCGTTTTTCATTTCCAATTTCTTTTTTCCACCTTAAATAAATTAGGCGGGAGAAGTGTGCCGGGTTATAAACGTCGACCTGACTATGAGTAGCAATTTATGCTCGAAACGTCATCAAGTAAATACTACCATGTCACTGTGTGTTATAAATCAAACAAACAAACCTAATATGGAATTATAATACTGTTATTTAAACTGAAATTCAAACTAGAACACTTTGGCGGACAACACATGGTATGACACAGATATAGAATTTTAATATGAATCAACTTTTATACAGCTATAAGATGTGAACGTATTTCTGCTACTGTAGTCAATCTTTAACCATATCATCTTAATTTCCGCTCACTATAGAAGTGTACTGTTCTTTACACGACTGAATTTAGCAGTAAACGATTCCATGGATTGATGTTAGAGTTTTAGCTACTCGGGCTGACGTTTATACATTATTTACGCCCCAAGTAGAACTGGTCCCTGAAATATATCATAAGTTGTTATGCCTAAAATATTTCCGTACCATCCCATTTAATAACTGTCACTGGCATTAGCAACTCAGATACTTCTCGTAACAAGCCCTATAGGCCTAAATTTCGTGCCGTCTGCTCAATGGCTCTGCCACATCATTTCTACAAAACAATTGGTTAAGTACTTTGGACTAGTTAGATTCAGCAGTAGAATAGATGACTGACCCCGATTGACTCATCTGACATTTGTAGTTAAACTAGCAATCATTGCATGGTACTTGATAAATTCGACTTCTTTGTCTCAGTGGGTCAGTAGAATCTATAAGCTAACAAAGCTTGTTTCTGAGTCCATTAGAAAGCTTCAATGCTTCTCCAAACCTAAGTTTATATCCTACACAAATTTTATGGTGAATTTATCTTGTATGGCAATATAAGAAAGGCCTTAAACTACCTGAACTCATGTAGAAAAGCGTTCGCTTACAAGATATATTTGTTAGTCATCCACTCCAATAAAATAAGAACAGAAATCTGGGACAACTTGATCTTCAGGCTGGGAAACATAGAGATGGAACTTTGATAAAAAATGCGTTTTAACTAGTATGACTGGGCTAAGTAGTTATAACATCTAGACCTAATTACCGCAAATGCCGAGAGTAAGCATTTAATCAAGCAGGACTTTATCAGTGGTGCAGGTGGATAAAGAATAACATACAATCCAACATTTCTGCGTGACTGTCCAAAGCATCGAATTTTATATTTATCCATTAAGATGTTAGTTGACATGACAGAGAAGTGAAAATAAAACCGTCTACGTTTATAGAAAGGCAGAAAATAAAAAGAACAGGCGACAAAGCAAATAAAGAAATATGACAGCGAAAGGTTAAGAAGAAGACAGCCTAATCTTGCAAGTGCAGTCGATTCTATCTAATATCATCTACATATATGAAGACATCGACAAGTCTGTGTTATGCAAACAAATGACCATTTCAAGACATAATAACATGGATTTTGTGGTCTGTTAGCATTAAGTAGTGTCACTTAAAGCTCAAAAAAGATATTTTTAATGGTCACGTAACACCCTTTAGATATCTTGTCCTCATACATCAGCATTCAAAATAATTGTTTCTCAGTAGCCGTCTTTTAAAAATACCAAAATAACTAAGAACAGAATACTTTAACTCAGGACAGTACAAAAGTTAATATCACCTTTCAAATGAAATAGTCATTCTTAGTAACAGACGTTTTCCAAAAGATAAATCCCTTTCTGGCTTGTTCAGTTTAAATCTTAACTTTAATGAAATTCTTTTTCGAATGTAAGAATGCTGACAGTCCAATTCGTACAAGTAGTGCAACCTAACAACTACATATGGACACATCTAATCAGTTCAAATAAATGCAGTATCAGTGACTTTGCAAATGATGTAGGATACGAACATATGAATCAAATCATTATTTACAAAGCATTTTAGATTCAGACTTAACTTTACACCGAAAAAGTGACTTATTAGGGGAAAAATCATCTCATCTGAAAAACTGTTTACTAAAATACAGAATTTAAAACTTAGTGTGAATAAAGAAGTAAAGCAGAACTTACGTAAACTAGCAATTACTAAACAGTACCATTTACAGTTTTCAGAACTAAGAAGAACTGCAACAACTAATCAGCATATCTGTTGTTCGAACTAGTAAAACATATCTTTAAGTTGTTTTTGGGGCGATGGTGTTAGTTGGCAGGCGATGAAATCCCACATACGACATAGTCATCGGTCTACTAGAGCTACACAAGGAAGTGAAGTAATTGGCTTTTGCGTGAATATTTAGAAGGTGCTACTTTGACTAAGTTAAATGGTTTATGCGTCGCACTCATCATATTATTTTAACTAAAAGAAATCACCCAGAAACATTTTTATGTGTTCTGAAAAAGGCTTGTCTTGAGTATTTTTCTTGAAATAAGGTAACAATCAATTTTGAAATTTTACAAAAAACTTACCACTATGTACAAATACAACGCGCCTTTTTTGGAGATCCATTTGTGTAAAAGTACTCTGACTAATAGATAAATTATTCAAAAATGCTATATGACCTTGATGCGTATGCAAGATTTCGTATATAATTTGACCTAAGGAAAGAGAAAATCAAATGATGCACAGACTACTATACCATTACACCACATGGTCTTGTGGAATAAGTTTTATAGGAAATTTATATGAAGTTATCCATCAACCAGAAATAACTGATTTTTATTTGTCCAATAAACATTTGCTACAGAAACATGAAGGCTATCTAAACTATGACTATTAGAATAGGATATGAGATTATTCTTATAGGTCTTACCTGAAAATTCATAAACTATCAAAACGGTTTTACAGTAATAAGAAGAAATAAAAAGCAGTTTCAATAAAAATAATGGAAACAATTCATTTTTATAACGTGAGCACGTGTATAGCCCATACAACAGTCGAGCGTATCACAAAAGTTGTACGTGCGCACACATTTTTCAGTGTTCGATATTTGAATTCTGTTCAAAAACCATATGTTCATGTATTGGTCTTGATAATCATAAAACAGTCAGACAAATTCAGATTCTCAACAAAAATCGTTATCTGTTACAGATATAATAATTAATAAATGAAAGAGTCGAGTTGCTATGCATAATATAAACCTCATGTAGTGAACAAAAGGTAGATTTTAGTTAGGATATTAACGAATTAAAAAAAACAGTTTTCAATAACAAATCTGTCTGATGACACCACCGATAAATAATACTACTTGATTTTGTGATATTTCTAATAAATAAACTAAAATGGAACTAAAATCTACAACAGTGCTGAAGTTTTAGTCCGAAACCGTTTATTTTGACTCACTATTATCGTTTTCTCCCCCAAATCTACATCAGACGATTATCATCACTTGTTGCCTATCTTGATGTTGAGCCTTATACTAACTATATATATCCTAATAAGTGGATTTCTCCACAGTGTAAATATGTACAGGATCACGAGGTTAACGCTACACCCGATTAACCAATAATGTTAACGTTTTGTTAAGTTAGTTCTCCTTTCCTCTTCGATCAACTGTAGCTAACGACTTAGAAAACTAATCTTTAATCGTCAAGTTTCGCCCTCAAATTTGTAGGATGTTTGTTATTTTTATCTGGTTTTTTATACCGTTTATTTTGCCCCAATGTGTTGTCTACAAAACCTGTACCCATAGACTATGAAAACAGGCACATGTGCTATAGGCAAAATTTTGTTCATAACTTCTTTGGTTGCTGCAGTACATTGCTGAATCCAGTGATTTTTTCTAACGGCTAAGAGAAGTTAAGTGGCTGATTAGTTTAGCACTAATTACTTGGAAGTTAGTGTAACCTGCTGAACGCATCTTACTTATCGATAGTATGCTATGCAAAGTAAGCGAAAATACTCTCCCGTAACAATTTTGGAACCCATATGATATGTTACACTTTGTCCAATTTGTATAACCTTACAAGGGGATGACTTTAATTCCACTGCCTGAATCAGTGAGTTATATGACTGAATATTCATGACAAAAATATAATTATTAAGAAATTGTGCACTGCTGCAACTATCTCAGCAGTCAATATGTAAAATATAATTAGCTGGCATGTTTATTCTATTTTCACTGATAATAGTCCACATTTTAGTCGCATGTGAGCGACGTTTATTAAATGTTATGAAGCTATTCAAAAGTGAATAAAATAGAGCAAAAAATATTGTCACAGCTAAATTCTTAATACGTTGAAGCTAGCACCAAGATTTTGACTACAACATTCCCGAAGCGTGTGAATATTTTTATCCACTGGAGACGCGTCAACTTAACACCATACTGAACATTCGTTTTAAGTCACTAAAAACTTTTCTCCTACCATGCCACCATGTACAACTGCATTACACTCGTATGATTTCAAAACGGTGGAGAATATCTGTAGCGTAGGTGGATAGTCTTCTTTGGAATATGATGTCTGGGCTTGGTTGTTTAATCGTGGAGCTTTCATCGTCTTTCTAGACCACATCATCAACACTATCTTTAGTATGAAGTAAGGTGTCCATATCTCTTCGTGAGTGCCTCAGCAGCTCGTCTTGAGGAACTGGTTTGTGACACCTCTCTGTGACCAGCAGTCTCACTTCCGGGAACTCCAACATACAACATATCAAGAGAACTTTCGAGAAAACTGCAACACCTGGTTCAGTCATGTGGATATTCTATCAAACCACCTACAGAATTCTTAGAGAAGTTCAAAAGCACTAATATATGATATTTTTCGACGTCACAGCACTATACACATCCATTGAACCCCAGTTGGTCAAGGAAACCATTTTCCTCCTGCTTACTAAAGACACAAGCCTTCCAGAACGCACAAAACTTAGATAATCAAGCCTGATGGAAGTCATCGAACTTTGTCTGACAACATACTTCCGATTCAGTAGCAAGATATACAAGCAGATGAAAGGAACTCCAATGGGATCATCAATATCCGGACTAATTGCAGAAACAGTAATGCAAAGATTTGCTATGTAGACGACACTTTTGTCATCATTAAGAAAGATGCTATGAAAAACATTAACAGTTTGATCAACAATGTTTTCAGTGACATCAAATTAATAACCAACTACCATTCCTGGATGTGTTAGTCAGCAGGACAGATGCTGGAAAGCTGGAAACCCAAGAGTACAGGAAGCCAGTGCTCACCGATCAAATCCTCAACTACAGTAGCAACAACCCAACAACATAAAAACTCAGTTGTGTTCAGACTCTATTCAAAAGAGCGAGAACATAATGTAGTACGAAAGCTTCAAGGAGAAAAGAAGAAAATTACTTGATGTCTATCCAGAAGAAGAACGCCTACTCGTGAAACTTTATCAGAAGATGCCTATCCCGTACAACATAAGCTACAAAGTCATCGACAGAAATCAACAAACGCATCATCCTACGGTACATAAAGGATATACCAGAAATCACGACAAGATTACTGAGACCACATGGGATTGGTGTCTCTCATGAACCAACAAATTCCCTTCAAACCATATTGCGTAAATCAAAGGACGCAAAAGCCAGAGAAGACAAACCAAATATTATTTACAAAATCGACTGCAATAACTGGGATCAGTATTTCATTGGAAAAAGCGTTTCCCTCTTCGCCTTCACCTATATGAACAACAAGAGGCTGTTAAACGTCATGATATTTCATCAATCACTTCAATGCATTTGGATAACAACTGTGGACATGAATTCAGTTTTGATAGTATAGAAATGTTGGATGGAAAGAGGAAACAAAAGAGTATCAGAAAATTCTTAGAAGCTTCTTATTCAGGTCAGTTAGCAATCAACAGATATATAGACATAGACCCAATCTATCAACCAATAAGAAAAATGATAAAGGAAAGCAAGGTCATAGGTCAAGTAAAGGAATAGCCAACAGGAAAATCTATAAAGTCAGTGACACAACAGTCGAAGGAAAAAACCAATCACAAACCAATTCATCGGGACAACCTACTAAATCACTCACGGAGAGGTATCGACACATCACTTCATATTGAAGTTACGATTGACGTCGTGATCTCGATAGAAAATGAAAGCTCCACGATTCAATAACCCAGCTCAGAGATTATATTACAACGAATGGAATTCGAGTGACTCACTCGTAGGACTTCTGCAAGGATATCTTTTACGTATGAACTATTTCAGACAGAAATAAGATACCTCAACGTTTCTGCTTACATTATGCAAGATCTTCTAAATTTCTGAAATGAGAAGTATGTATAAGGCAAATGCATAAACATCAAGGACTCTTATAACCAGTTAACTGAATGTGACGGCTAAACCTACAAACGCTGCATCAACCAGTCATAGGAACTTAAGAAAAGAAATTGTCATTTTTCTATGATTGTGAAGCTCAGTAGCATAACTTACCGATAAATCATGATCCGAACGAAGCATCTTTTAAAAATACTATAGGGTGACACTAAAATTCAAAGTAATGTAGCAGTAACTAAAATAATTTAAATATTTCCATTTGATGACTAGAAGATAGAGTTTGAAGCGAATGCGTATTTTCAGCAACTTATTGCCAGGCTTTACATTAGCATTATCACTTTTACCGTTATCTTCCAATTCATTTACCCGAATTAATTCAACTATGTTAGTATCAAACTACCATACTGAATAATTTGTAAATGTAAATGTAAAGCCTGCTGAGAGTTTACTGAAAATACGTATTCGCCCCAAACTCTGTCTTCTAACTATCACAATGGGAATATTTAAATCATCCTGTAAGGCTGAGAGGACTAAGTGAGTTCTTGAAGTTCAGTATTAGATTAGCTGAAGCAAATGGACCCGAAGAGTTTTACAAATCATACATGCAACACAACTGTTATCCTAGAGCCTTTTTGGAAATCTCTTCGAAGATCGAAAATCTGGCCTTATATCAGAACGCTGAAACGTTTTGCCCTGAATCAGATTGGTTCTACCGCATCCAAGTGTCCTGACCTGGAAGGAAGTGCATCACAACGTCAGAATTCAGTAGGTAACCTACCAGATAATTTACACTTCATATTCAAAGTTAAATGAGGGAAGTTATTGATAAACGTGTAGAAAAACAAAATAAACGTTTAATGAACAGTTTGGATAAGCAGACACCACGGCGTCTATTTCCAATCAATCCAAAAAGGCATGTCCATAATATTTCTACTATTCCCCTAACTTTATCACACCTAGAAGTTTAGTAACTAAGACCAAAGTTTTGTGATGTGAACAATCGTCCTATGAGAATCATAACTAAACTACACTTCCAAAATTTTCTCAGTCAAATCAGTGATTGAGTCTCATCTCCTGTAAATACGGAAGGGTTGAAAGTCTCCATAGAGGAAAGCTGTTATCAGTTTCAGCCAATAAAATTTAACGACAGGAGAATATTTGGTAAATCGCATTGCGAAGCATTGAGGAAAATGCAATCTAACGAGACAATCCTCATAACGAGACCGGACAAGAGAAATGAAGTTCTACTGTTGAATAAAGACGACTATGATCATAAAATGAGTAGCATCCTCGGAGATACTAAAAAGTTTCAGATATTGGTGAACGGGTGAGATCACACCGAGAAAATAAACAAGGAGTTTCTAAAACCATTCAAGACACTGTTAATTAGTAGCACCATCTCACTAGACACTTTCGAACGAATTAAGCCTGTAGGTACCAACATACCAGAGATAAATGGATTGCCCAAAATTCACAAACCTAATGTACCCGCACGCTCTTGTGCATGCTCAGTTCACCATATCACAAAGTAGCAAGATGACTAGCAGATATACTGAAACCGCTACAATATAGGATGGCTAGGTATAGTCTAAATAACACTTTCGAACTTGTTTCAAAAGTAGAAGACCAAAACATTAGTAACGAAACAATGATTTCTATAGATGTTAGTTGCCTTCTTGTTTACTGATGTTCTGTTCTTCTGGAAACAATTGATTTCATCTGTAGTTCACTGCGGAAATACCACTTGCGATCCTACGACAGCTGATTCTTCGTTGTGCGATGAATGTACAATGTCAGTTTAACAAAGAAATTTATCGTCAGATAGCAGTTGTGGCAATAGGCTCACAATTAGGTCCTCTACTAGCTGACATGTTTATAGAGTTACAGAAAGTGGACCACTACGTAGCACGATAGATAAACTGTCCTTCCATTGTAGATACATGGATGACACCTTCATTCTGTACAAAATGATACTAATCCTGACATTCTCCTCGATACATTCACCAGTGCTCATCCAAAAATTGAGTTCACGTGGGAAACAGAGAAAGACGTATGTCTGCCATTCCTGGTTGTTCTGCTATCAAGACGTACAGACTGCAGTGTCAGATGCAGCACTTAATATAAGAAATCATGGGTCGGTCAACATACACATTTCCAATCATTTGTCGCTCCTACGTACCAAAGCAATTTAATCAGTAAGCTGATATTCCGAGCAAGCAAGATTTCACAAATGACATTTTAGACGATAAAATAAGAATAGACAACCCATCATACGAGACTGACTATCCTGAAAAGTTTGTAAAGACTGCAACAATAAAAGCAGCTAGAGGAAAGTGTCTTCAAATGGTGCCGAAGTAACGGGTGTAGCTAATCTTGGCGTTCAAAGGAGATACATCTACAGAAACACTGACAATGAAACTCAGAAATCTTATACAAAAACGCCTTCTCTGCCACCATACTGTGTTTGAAATTTACTTCTCGCTGTGTGCTGTCAATGCAGTTGAAGGATAGGCTTAGAATCTGGCCACATCTATGGGCATTTTTAAATTTAACTGCTCCTGTGGAGATAGTTACATATGTAGAACCATTCGGTGAGCATATCATCGCTTCATTGAACAATGTCCAGTGTGGTTATGCAAAGGAATAGTGGAATCCATCGAAAGCTCAACACTCACCCATCTATCAGATGCTGAGCATGAGATTAACCAAACCTAGGCATTTGTTATTATTTACAAAGTCCCATCACAATAATCTAAGTTTGTGAGTCTCTGATTGCTGAGCAAAGCAGAAGCCACAGTAATTGACATTTTCAAACCTAATTTATGTATTCAGATATCTTTTCTCTTCCTTCCCCTTCCATGGCCTTCAACTTCAACTTCAACCCAGATACAATCATTCGGATAAATATAAGTATTATCTCTGTTTGTACTCTTATCATTATCATTTTGTTTTTCGGCCTTAGTTTCATAATTGATTAAGAATTTTAACAATTCATTATCTAGTCGCTATGCTACAATAATTTTATTTCCGTCTATCCCTGCACACACACACAATTCATTCACACATCTACTAAGATTCACCACCGAGAATATATATAAACTTTCCGAGATTTTGTTTTGCTATGATCACCTTTACTGATATCTTCTAATTCATATACCCGTATTAATTTAACCATGTGTTGGTATCAAATGACTATGCTGAATAATATCTAAATGGGAACGCATTCACTTCAAACTCTGTCTTCTAAGTAAGTGAAATGCATATACTTTAAAGTCAAGTGTCACCTGGATATTGATCGTTTTTACCCCAGGAAGTGAAGTAATGGAGAATAGTATCTGTAACCTAACGAAATTATTGGTTGTTATGTATTGCTATCTGCGAGTAGAATATGATTTTGGTGATTTTACATAATCAGGAACATGTTTATTACACTTTACCCTACGACATCTAAGTTTTTCTTGCCAAATAGCTTATTCGTTTTAATAATCTCTTCTTTACACTATTGAAAGTAAGAAGATCAATGTAACATACTAATGTCTATGGGGTGACTAAGATCCTGAAAAAAGTTGAAAAATATTTTACTTGAATTCGTATACACACCTCTACTTATTGCGACATTTATTGTATTCTACTTTAGTATTTTCCGGACTACTTTTTGGCAGACTACTGAAATGAATGAAATGATGACACTTAATTCATTTAACTCAAATCTGTTGACTTTAAAAATGACTAGTGATACATATCATTTGGCAGCAGGAATCAATACAACGCTTACCTGACTCAAATCCATTTGATAATCCTGCATCTATGTAATTAGTTGTAATGACAGTTGATGAACCGGACAAAATTCGCATTGGTTGACAGTGTATCAAATATGGGCGAGGGGTTATCTCATTCAGTGTGAACTTGATTTTGACAGGATTAGCTGACATCGTTTCTGTTGTAAGATCTAATGCAGTCAACTAAAAAAAATGGTTCAATTTAATTGTGTATAAAATAACATGATAGCCTTACAAGAATTCTGTTAGTAAAGACAGTGTTTTTACTGAACACTAATGATGAAAGATGGAGAAAACCTTTAGATTATGCGAAAGTAACAGGAGTAAAGTAGAACAAATGATTCTAGAGAAAACAAGCACCACTCAAGCTGGCCTAAAGAAGATTATGCTATATGTATTTTAGGTATCTTCTAAATCATATTGTTTATATAAGTAAACCCAATCAGTTTCCATTTCTAGCAGCCCATTCTAAATACACTACCATTTGCCGGAATTACCAGGAACAAAGTATTAGAAAAGGAGGAAACAGTATTTTTGAGCACGATTCATATCTGTTTAGGAAAAGCTATCCACTTAGTATTCAGAATACAAACTATGTGGAAGTTATTAGAAAATTTAATTTCATCCTTCATAACCATTTTATTTATAATTGTATATAGTCTGTCGGTTAACTGTGATTGAGTAGTAAGATGAGTAATCATTAAATAATGCATTTTGAATGTACCCTTAGGGCTGGTGAGAATCAAAAGGAAATAATCCAATGCTAGTAAAGTCACATCCGAATGAATAGGACAAAGCATTTTATATTTATGTAAAAATAACGTAGGTTATGGTGTCAATATATTTCATTATATCTCTGATGGTGGTGATATGAAGACAGGAGGCGGTTGACAATACGTGGAAGTAGTAAATGAAGTACTCAGTGTAAGAATACTTCACTGAAATTCTCAATATGCTAAGAGGCAATTCAGTGAACCAAAAGTATTCCGTTTGATGGCCTGCCTAAGTTCTACGGCCACATATCATCGTTAGGCTACATATTTGGGTATGGTGGAAATTTTCATAATAGTTAATTGGTAAAATTAAATATTCAGTTCAGTGTCTTTACGAAATATATTCCTCAATGACGATTTCCTTAGTAAATATATGAGAAGAAATAATTTTCAAGAAAACAAATTTTTGACTCATAAATGACAAAGGAACATCACAAGTCGAGAGGTTAGAAAATATGAAAATTGTTACTTATCATGAAAAGTTATTTTACTAAAGATCATAGTGTTGAGATGATTTATGACTACTTTTAGTAAAATATTAGGTACTGTCTATTCTAATTCTGAATGAGCGAAGAAATATTATTATTATTATTATTAGTCCCTTGGGTTCCTAGTGGAACATAGGGCTTCAGTAGCACGCCTCCAGTGACCTCTGTTCTCTGAGATCTTTTGAACCTGGTCCCACGACAGCCCAGAAGCTCTCATTTCCTCCTCGCACGATCTCCTCCATGTCACCCTCGGACGTCCAACTCGTCGCTTCCCATGGGGATTCCATTCGAGCAACTGGCCTGACGCGTGATGTCCTCAGTCGGCCTTCTCAGTGCATGGCCAATCCATCTCCACTTCCTTCCAGTGCATATTTGTTCAACGATAGGTTTTTGGTTGGTTCGTTCCCAGAGCTCCTTGTTGCTTATTCTTTCTGGCAATCCATCTGATCTTCAGTAGCGAGCGTAAGCAGTTGTTGATGAATGTCTGTAGTTTATTGGAAATCCCTTTCGTGACGCGCCAAGTCTCTGAACCATACAGAAGCACTGACTTGACGTTGGTGTTGAAAATCCGTATCTTGTTCCACATGCTAAGTACAGAATACCTCCACACTGGTTTCAGGCTAATGAACGCCTGTCTTGCTTTTCCGATTCTCACTTTGACGTCCTCGTCTGTGCCGCCACCGCCTGTAGTTGAAACAGTGCTGCCTAGATAGATGAAGGAGGTTACTTCCTTTAAGCTTCTCCCGTTTATGGTGATTGGAGTTTGTTGTTGTTGTTGACGGTGGTGGTGCGGTATCTTCATCACTTCTGTCTTCTCTATATTCACCTCAAGTCCCGTCTTAGCTGCCTCTTCTATCAACTTGTTAGTTTTTGCCTGCAGATCTTCAAGTTTGTGTGACATCAGGCATAAGTCATCGGCGAAATCCAAGTCTTCTAGGTTCTTTTCCGCAGTCCAGCCAGTGTATCCCCCTCTTCTCGCTGCCTACTGTTTGCTGCATGATCCAGTCCACCACAATAAGGAATATCATGGGGGATAGTAGGCATCCTTGTTTCACTCCTGTCTTCACTTCAAAAGCATCACTGAGCTTCCCATTGTGAATTACTTGGCTGGCATGTGGCATCTTCATATAGTTGTTGAATGAGGCGGAGAAGGGTTGACGGTACTCCGTAGTAGTGAAGCAGTTTCCAAATTACTTCTCGGTCGACGCTGTCAAAGGCCTTCACAAAGTCGATAAAATTGAGGTAGAGAGCTGATTGCCATTCTATGCTCTGTTCTATGATGATGCGAAGCGTTACAATTTGGTCTGCACATGATTTGTACTTCCTGAAGCCTGCCTGTTCCGGTCTCAGTTTTGAATCCAGTGCATCTTTAAGCCTCTCCAAGATGATGCGGCTTAATATTTTACTTGGGGTGGACAGGAGAGTGATTCCGCGCCGGTTCTTGCAAGCACTCAGGTCTCCTTTCTTCGGGAGTTTGACAAGGTAACCCTTCTTCCAATCGTCAGGTACCTTCTCTTCCTTCCACACCTTCTGCAATAGTGGTGTGAGCATGTCCGCTGTTGTCTCTGCATCTGTTCTCAGTGCTTCTGGCGGGATTCCATCTGGTCCTGCTGCTTTCCCGCATTTCAGTAGCTTTATGGCGTTCAGGACTTCCATTTTCGTTGGGGGATTAATGTTCACTTGTAATTCAGCGGCTGCAGGTGGTATTTCTGGACGAAGTGCAGGTGGTGGTCGATTCAAGAGCTTCTTGAAGTGGTCGGCCCATCGTTTCCTCTGTTTCTCTTCTTTCGTAATTAAATTTCCTTCTTCATCTTTTATTGGTTTCATCTGTGTTGGTCTCTTCCCTGATAGCAACCTGGTTATTTGATACAATGTCGTCAGGTCTCTCTTACCTGCAGCCTGTTCTGCTTCACTTGCCAGTGTTTCGTAGAAGTGTCTTTTGTCTTTGCGTGCACTCTTCTTCACTTCTTTGTCCAGTGTTTTATACATTGTGCTCAGTTCCTCTTGTCGTTGAGCATCCTTGCACTGGTTTATCTTCTGCTTCACCATCCTCCTCTCCCTACTCTATCAGCTCCAGGTATCCGTCGAGATCCATTCCTTATCTTCTTTCTTCTTCCTTCCTAATACTGTTGTGCAGGTTTCTTTCCACATAGCTTTCAAAGACTTCCAGTGTTCTTCCACACAGGTTTCTTCAGGGATGTCCCTCGATGTCTCCCATTTTGTCTTGATGGCTGGCTGCCTTGAAGATCTCCTTTGTAGTTTCATCCTTCAGTTTCCGAGTGTTGTACTTGAACTGTGGTCTATCTCCAGCTTCCTTGAAGACTTTCAACTTGATTTGGAAGGTTCCTTACACTAGATAGTGGTCTGAACCTACATCTGCTCCTCTTCTTGACCTTGTGTCAAGTAGGCTGACTGCGTCTCCATTTTCTTGAGATTGAGATAAAGTCGATTTGATTTTTAGTGTGTCCATCTGGTGAAATCCATGTCGCTCGCTTTGTGGATATCTTTGTGCCTGAACACACTGCCTCCAATCACCAAATCGTTGAATGCGCAGAATTCTGCAAACAATTCTCCATTCTCATTCATTTCACCTAGCGCCTCTCGACCCATGGTTAGTTCTCTTCCTATGTTGTCCCCTCCCAGTTCGGCATTCATGTCGCCCATTAGAATTTTGATATCGCCAACTGAGTTGTAGTCTTGTCCAGTGTTGATTGAAGTTGTCTGTAGAATTCCTCCTTTTTCTCTTGCTCTGCATTATTTGTAGGTGCATAACATTGTATGATTGTGACCTTTCTTCCTTTTGAGTTGAATCTTGCTGTCATGATCCTGGAGGAGATTGGTTCCCACTGCATGAGAGCCTTCGATGCTCTTGAGGACATCATGATAGCCACTCCATAACTCAGTGTGCTCGTGGTTGTCGTCTGGGTGACCGGAGTAGATTATTGATTCTCCAGTTGATAGTTTGGAGAGTCCACTCCCATTCCATCTGCTTTCGCAAATCCCAAGCACTTCGATGTGATACCTTCTCATCTCCTTTGCAATCTGGGCTGCCTTACTGGGTTCAAACATCGTACGGACATTCCATGTCCCCACGTTTACTTTCGCTTTCATCGAGAGAAGAGAAGACACATCGGCCAATTGGCTTCCCGAAGGCAGGCTTTCACCAACTGGCGTCATTTCGCCTCTCCGATTCCAGCGGGGAATAAGTTTGTTTTCATTTTTTATATTTTGTTTGTGCTTTGAAGTTTCTTCAGCGGTTAGATTTGTTTTACGGGGTAGGGTTGCTAGCCCTATGCCCAACCTTCCCTCTTTACCCGGGCTTAGGACCGGCTAGTAACTAGTAAACTAGTTAACCAGGCGAGGTTGAGCGAAGAAATATATTTCTTTTCAATTAGGTCTCCATCTTGGGCTCAACAGGTCAATATACGCACTTCTTTAGTGCTGTACCCCTCCAATACAAAAGGAATCTAGTGAAATGCTTAGCATACCGTGCATAAGCTATTTGCTCAGAAAAATGCTATAAAGGAAGAGTGCGCCACCATCCGTGATCTGCTTAGTAGGAATGGCTACCCAGACAAGTTTGCAACCAAGCACATGAATAATACGAGGATTACGAAAACAATGCCAACAGTTCCTAAGAAGCAAATCTTCTTGAAGCTGCAATTTAAGAATGATATTGCCAGTGAGATCATCACACAACGCATGAAAGGAGTCTTGCATAAAGCATTCCCAGCCGCTAAATTATGTCCCGCCTTCTACAACTGCTCGATTCTAGGTGCAAGAAATAAAGACAAACTGCCTGATTCCGCCACTTCTATGTGCATTTATCAATTCAACTGCTCCTGTGGAGCGAGTTACATTAGGCGTACAGTGAGGCAGTTCCATCGTCGAATTTCTGAGCACCACCCATCATGGTGAACAAGGGACAAATTAGAACTATAAAGAGCTCCATACCTGCACACTTAGTTGACACAGGACATCAAATGGTTACTGGAAAAGCCTTCAAAATTATACACCAGATTCCAATTAATTGACCTCATGGATTACGCACTCGGTTACTTCACATAGCAGAGGCGATTGCAGTCCACCTTTACAAACCTAGCCTTTGTATCCAAAAGAAGATTGTTCGACCACTTTCATTACCGTGGCCGTCAACATGATGTAACTTCTAGGTTTATTTTGTGCGCCTCTTCCCTTTCTTGTTTCTATCAATGTTCATATTTCCTATTTTGGTAACTCTATTGATTATTTACATCATTATTTGCGAAACACCACGTGACTGGTAATTTGATTAAATTGTAAACCTATATATTAGCGTAGAGCCCAAGATGACGACATAGTTTCCAAGTTTCACACTCAGTTTTAGTTTGGGGTTTATGGGGATTTTACTGATTTCCAATTAATATTCATCACTTGGTTGTATTGTGTTCTCTGAGCTGGGTTGTTTAATCGTGAAGCCTTCATCGACCTTCTAGACTTCATCATCAGCACTAACTTCAGTATGAAGTGAGCTGTCAATATCTCTTCGTGAGTGATTTAGTAGCCTGCTCTGATGATGTGGTCTGTGATTGGTTGTTTCCTTCGATTGTTGTGTCATTGATTGTATAGACTTTTCTGTTGGCTGTTCCTCTGCTTCACCTCTGACCTTTCTGTCGTTTATCGTCCTACCATACGTAAAGAATGTGTCAGAAATCACAACAAGATTGCTGAGACCACTTAGAATTGCTGTGGCTCATAAACCAACAAATTCCCTCCAAACACTATTATGCAGACCAAAGGATGCAACAAGCAAAGAAGACAAACCCAATATCATTTACAAAATCAACTGCAATAGCTGTAGTCAGCACTACATTGGACAAAGCGGCCGTCGTCTTCACCTTCGTCTACATGAGCACGGATTGGCTATTAAACGCCACGACATTTCATCACTCATTTCAATGCACGTTGATAATTATGGGCATGAATTCAATTTCGACAATGTAGAAATTTTGGACAGAGGAAACACAAAAAATATCAGAGGATTTCTACAAGCTTGGCATTCAGGTCAGCCAGCAATCAACAGATGTATAGACATAGACCCAATCTATCAACCAATGAGGAAAATGAAGAACGTCAGAAAGGTCAGAGGTGAAGCAGAGGAACAGCCAACAGAAAAGTCTATACAATCAATGACACAACAATCGAAGGAAACAACCAATCACAGACCACATCATCAGAGCAGGCTACTAAATCACTCACGAAGAGATATTGACAGCTCACTTCATACTGAAGTTAGTGCTGATGATGAAGTCTAGAAGGTCGATGAAGGCTTCACGATTAAACAACCCAGCTCAGAGAACACAATACAACCAAGTGATGAATATTAATTGGAAATCAGTAAAATCCCCATAAACCCCAAACTAAAACTGAGTGTGAAACTTGGAAACTATGGCAGATATATGCCAAACAACATTGTTAATTTAGCATAACACACAGTGATACAATATTATTTAATGAGTGACGTTTCAAGTGGAATTTATTGCTGGTAATCATAGGAGAATAATCATCCAACTTTCAAACTTCATCTGGATGGTTCAACAGTTCTTCACCTTTTTATGTTAGTGGTGGTGAAAATTTTCGAATATCTGCAGTATATTCATTACTTAGACACTAGTTAGGTGCTGATCCATTGAAAAGAAATTCTGCAATGACTACCTCTCCACCTAGATATACTGTTACTCAAAGGTCACCCTAAAAGCATCTGAAAATAACAACCTTATTGGGGAGGAACACAAATATTGATGTTAAATTTAGATAAACGTTATAAAGGAAAATGTGAAGTAACGAGAAACTTTACTGTCAGTGAAAAGGGTTTGAAACTACACATAGCCAGTGTTTAAATAAACCTGCATATGCAGTCATGATAGCTACTTTCGGTAAATTATTTGGTCTGTTTCCTTAGGGTGTTTTTTGTGGATTACGGTGCCTGTCTAACCCTGAATTTGTCAGACTGTTTGAATATAGTTGTTTTGCTAGCCATCTAACTACATATCCCCTCACCCCAGCTTTCTTAGTTCGACAACTCTTCCCAGTATATGTATTTCCTCATACACGTGTAAATCAGTGAACACAGTAGGATGTGACCTGATAATACATCTAACGCTGAGGCATATGTTGAATCATAGGTTTCGCTTTTTAGTTGATACTAAGTTGACCTCATAGTACATTGCTTTGGCAACTCAATTAAGCTCTCATCTTAAAATAACGCCGTTTGATCCTTCCGTTTAGGATACCGTGATTTACGCATCTTTCTTCTGGATACAAAGGTCCAATAAATCGCAATAATGAACACTTTTTTTAAAAACCAACAGGTTTTAAGGAATGCATAATAATGACTAATATCTCCGAAAAGACTTTGATTACTAATTTCACTGTGACTTCCATGAAAATATTTAGAGCTCTCTAAAATGAGCATATTAATAAACCTCGGTTATGCTTCATTGGATAGAAGCTGTCGAAACATAGGTACTGCTTGGTCCCAGTAGGTTTTATGGGCACTGATCTTCCGCCTTCTCTTCTTAGTAGTAGCGTATCTGGAGATTTCTACTGCGCCCGATAGACTGTTATGGCTTTTAACCGCTGAAAGTCTCTCCAGTAGACTTGATGCATCGCCGTGTTTGTTGCATATTTCCAAAGTGTCACTAATATATTTTTTGCACATAGGGCTTTTAATAAATAAATCTATATGTGAAACATAAGCGTCAACTTAAAATTGTGTTGAAGGACCACTAGCTGTGATGCAATCATCTTATCAAAAATATTCGTTCTCAAGAGTGAAGTAACCTTATCACTGCCCAACAGTAATAGCTCTTTGGCATAAGTAGTCCTGTATGACTATGCGGAAAAGGAACATGGAGCAAAATGGATTCAAATGTGTATGGGCAGAAGGGCTGACCAACCAGTTTAGCAATTCACAAAGGAACTTTAATAACATAAGTGAACACTTACAAGAATAGCTCAAGTTATACCTTCTTAAGTCCAATTTTTAAAGACTTTTTTCAGCAGAGAAAAAGAGCATCATAAAAGTTCATGCTGGTGGACAACAACTATCATGTTGGTATTCCAGTAATAAGTTTCTTCCCCAAAAAATGGAAAATGGTCTAATTGTTTGACCTATAACATCAGTCGGTTCTTGTATTTTCGCCATCCAACTGATCGGAATATACAAGTCTGATTCTAACAACTTCTGTGACCGAAATTCAAAGGGTGAGTTACCGAAAATAAATCCCAACCGTAAATAAGACATCTAAACAGCAAAATGTCATTAGATGTTGCTGGAAATAAATCCTACTTCTTCCAAATATTTTTGTACTTACCAATTTTATGTTGACCTGTTTGTTTTATTTCTTATGGTTTAAACAGCATGCAAACAAATGAGTCAGAAACTTCCACTCAGAAGACTGTAGCAAGAAGAGCACTAACGTTATCATGCTTCTAACAGTTTGCTATGATAATAATTTTTTCATATTTTGGGATTATTGTGTATTCAGTTGTTTAAAAGAAGCATAACTAGTATGACAACACAAATAATGCGTTTAACCTACTGATGCAAGAACGGAAGTTGTTTTCAGTAAAAAAAAGCAATAACTCCATATTGTAAGTCTTTACGGAACTGAAAAACGTAGTGTTTGAACAACTGTTTGGAATACGTTACGTGGTCAATCCTGAGAACTAAATATGTTGCATAATATAGTGTTTAAGTATCTCTTCTTTCAATTCAAGGGTACTTCTAAACGTTGTGAGAATTTTTATATCAAATACGATTCGACGTAGAATGAGGAAGAAAGGTCTTTGTGAAGACATAAAGCATTTCAGTCGAAATGAAAATACCTGCCGTATTTTCCAGATCTAAAGTTATGGACAAGAAATTCCAAAGGATGAGTGAGTGAGTGAGTGAGTGAGAGAGTGAGAATATGGAGAAAAAGTTTATTATTTTGGTCAAGATCCACAGGTCTGGAACGAAATTAAATTATTTCTAATAATATACTTCAGATAAAACCTATGAACGTGACGTAGAATTCAACATGAATTGTGCTGCACGACACGATGACAGCTTCACACCAAGCAAACTGATAGTGAACAATATGCTGTAACTAAATAAGATTCAGTTTCTTGTCTGAATGAGAGTTCGATAAAGTTGTGATTTATTGTTATCACAACTGGACATTTGAACAATGGATAAAAAGCGTATCAATATTTTAAGCTAACAAAGTCTTAACGTCCGTTTACGATCATTTACTTCCGGATTCAAATGCAACTGATAGAGGGTCAAAAATACGGAGGGAAGCGTTAGACAACACTCATCATTATTCACTTCCGATAATCAATCTCAAGGCGATGAAAATTAGCATCAATATGATCATATGCACCTCAGAAATTGAACTTTTCGTAGGTGAAAAACAATTGAGAGGTTGATTGCCATTGCTCAGTATCAAATAAAATTATTGCATTGGATTATAGGTACGCAGAAAAAATAATGTAACGATATAAAGCCTTATCTATTAATTCTAAACTGACCATCATTAGTAACACTACCTTGGTTGCCGTAAATTATAACCCCAAACTTACCTCAACTAAATCTTCATTAACTGACTCGTTCCCATGATTATGATATAAAATATCATTCATAGCCAGATCCAAATCAGAAAATAGACGAACAGTTCGATTAAGCCTAAAGAAAATGAATAAGTACCATAATTTAATTCATAAAAGCTTTTTATATTACTCATTATTCGGAATGGTAAAATATAAAGATCAATCTTATGAATACACTTATACCATAAGTCAAAACAAGCTGAAGGGGTGTGAGAAGCAACGCAGTCATTTTGAGTTCATCCGCTCGGTTCCCCTCAAACAGACATGTCGTCCAAGTAAACTAAAACTAGACAAGAAATGGTTAACTTTTAAAATTGGAAACATATCGTCTACAAAAACGCATTTATAGTCAACTGAAAAGTCGGTTGCAATCTCCTGAAGACTACAAATTCAAGTTTAGGACATAGAAGGGAAAAAACGAGTATTTTTAATTACTACCGTGGTTTCAGAAGCCAGTTAAAATAGAACCTTTTTACTGTTCATTATAAGTTTCCGGCTTACTTTTGACTACAGTGAAGGTTGATTCGATAAGAGAGATTTTAAAAGATAGGCAATGAAAGCAGAGTTGTATCTTCACTGTGACATGTGTCTGAATTACTTTACCTTATTACTTCATCGGTGGATGTTTATTCAGTAGCAATCCAAGCACTTTTATTAGCTACTACTTCCTTTATAATCGTTGCATAATTATCAGGGATGACAATTTATACGGGTTGTTTATCAAATCTTGCCAACTGATTGAGATTAAGCTAGCACCCAAGATTATGGTCAACAGCTTTCAGGCTAAAGATAAAAGTATTCGAATAGACGAAGGTATTACATTTTTTCAACATGTAACTTACAAACACAACTAATAAGAACAAAACACAAGAATAACTTACAGGAAAATAGCTCAAAACCAATTCAACTTTCAATAATTCACTGACTTTGTTTTATTTGGTCAGCTTAAATATTTTCATCATCGCTAACAAATCACTCTATAATTAAAATGCTACATTCAAATCTATTAGAAATTCGATATCTACATTCTAGATAGCATGGCACATAGTTTCATTTTATTGCCTACATAAAACAATTAGTGATGTAAAGACACTGAACTACGCGGAAAAGATGTTCACACTGCCTTTGAAATGATAACTAGTGGTTATCTAAAGAGTTATAGTGTAGTTTAGCTTTAAAGAACACCATTTATCTGAAATACTGCGTATCTAAACTAAAATTTTCCCATTTCCTTCACAAAACCTTCCTAGTTTATTTTTTTAATGATGCGAATGTTAAACAGCATGTCAATAAAAAACAGTCAGCGTGTATCCAGATAGTGGTTTCAAGTGAGCACTATAAACTTTAATAGACTAACATCAACAAAACACTAAAAATATCTGTTACAGAAATTCTTATCTAAACAAGTAGGCATTTCAAAAGCTGTTAGGTAGCTTCTGCATGTATACCACAGTTTAGGCGGACTAGACCGATTTTTTAAAGTCTAAAACAACGAGACAAGCACATACAAGATAGGTAACTGATGATAAATGAAACCCACTTTCTTGATATTAATAAACCGAAATTTGGCCCCGATCTCACATTGTACAGAATCTTTGCAGTTTTTATGCGATATATTTTGTAATCATCTTCAATATTTTTCTTATGTTTCTTGTTTTGAACGTGTAACAAATCCATTTTCCAAAAACTATCCGATAACTTAGTCATTTCACTTTCAGTATTCTGATTTTCGTTTCCTAAATTCATAAGTTCGCTCATTCTAAATGGTTCGTCGTGTCTAACTGGATTTTCATTGCTAATTACAGGTGTCAGCTGTGAGTCTGTTAATGATCTAAAATCTCTTGGTTCCAGTGCCAAATTCAAGTGCTGGAGTTCGAAATTAGAAAAAATGAAGAAAAAAAGTATACTCAGTAAGAAAAAGTGATTAGTTTTTGATAAACTTAGGTTTAAAATATTTCTATAATTGAAAATAGTTAGAATCCTCCGGCAACGTATTTCTCGGGATGAATGATAAAGCTGACTGGATTAGTTAAAACCGTCACTACAACTTACAATCCTATTTCATGTGTTGAAATCTTGCAATAGGTCACATTTTTAAACAAAACATTAGGCAGAAAATACGTTTTTGAAATCCCAATGAGATAGAAAAATTAATTTCTGGAAGCCGTTTCTTCAGAGAATAAAACCTGTACAAGTTATCACATGTCTAAATACCAAATGGAGACTAGTCAGATCACTTTGTTCATGCGAAATGAAGAAACGGCTTCCACTTGGTTGTGGGATATCAGAAATTTACTTCTCTATCTCGTTGGGATTTCAAAAATATACCTCCTTTGCAAACCATTTAGCCACTGCCTTCTCATGTCAATTCTAACAGGTCAAATTTTGATCCTGAAGTTTTTAGAAATATTAAATGTCGAATTTTTGAGCAGGCATTTATCGGCGAGACTTTTGAGTAGGATACCCAGCTTTAGTAGGAATATTATTCATTTTACATTTCCGTTGTACCCTCAAAACAGCAATTATGTTACAGTGTAAAAAAACTTAATTTTCTAGACCTCAAATTCCATTTCGAATTCAATTTTAAACCAGCAATGTTTGTGACTAATTCTGCTTTTGTTCAAAATATATCAAAAATACTGGTTTCACCACTCTAACTGAATGTGAAACAGGTGGAAAACTTTTAGGTTTAACAAGATTTTTGTTTTCTTGCTTTGACACTTGTAATTTCCTGTTTCTATAGAGGGTCGATTTGCTCAACCTCTTGTGGCAGACGAAATCTTATGGGTATGCCATATTTATTCTAAATATTTTCTCTGCAATCTGATGACTTATGTCATAAATGCACACAATAAGCCGTGAACTGAAATACTATCAACTACAACCAAGTGTAATGAGAACTGTTCAGTATTTTAATGGTTTAAATTCATAACTATTGTCACTGCTCTTTATAACCGAGCAGTATGACTAAAAGCAGATATTTCTGACTACTCGTCACATCTAAATCATGAAAAACCGTACTATAAAATGCACCAAAGTATGCATAATCGGTTTTGTATTAACTTAATCAGCAGTCTCGTACTGGAAAAATGAAACATCAAGATTACACACTGTTTAGAATAAAGGGATTACTACTATCATTATTTTTTATATATATACGAAGAAATGTGTCACTATAAAAAGGCATCTCATATTACCTTCAAATCTAAACCTGTTTGCATAATCGAAATACAAATGACTTGTTGCAATCGCCCTTTAACTGCATCCTTCATTTGACTCAGTTCCATGTCATTGATAATGTATTCCATTTGATCACCGATTATTGAGAACTTAATACAATCTCTTGCTAATAACCTTTGGCTAAAGTGAGATTTTATTGTGTTAAGTTGATTTTTCAGTGGTTCATATATAATTCGTCCACCGATAACATCAGCCAATGTAAAATATTTAATCGTTGATATTTTAAAACTTGCGGTGCATAAATAGAGTATACCATAACGGGGGATCTGAAATGAAAAGTTAGTAGAAAAAACTTAACTTTTGGTAAAAGCATCGGTATGATGAAGTTGAAAACAAACAAATTGATTGAACAAATAGGCAGAACTAACGGTAATTTTGCCAAAATATAGAAGGATTAGAAAAAATTTTCTTGGGCAGAATTTGTGTTAGAGGAGGAGAAAAAAGTATTCAACGTGTCGAGAAAGGTTACACAAAATGCGTCAAAGATGGCTATAGGATTTTTATTAACTAAGAATTATTATGAGCAGAATTTATATAATCAGGTCAAAAAAGTGAAACGTAAAGTAATAAAAAACCAACCTATCCGAATCAAAAATGATATGCAAAAAAAGACGTGATAATTGTCTAGAAGGCAGAAGTCCAAGTGTAGTCAGAGGACGATTCCCAAATTGTAAGGAACGCCTGTTCCGAATTCCACTGCTAGCCACTGTACAATATCACTAAAAATCGCCTGCAAAATAGGTCTTGATATTCATGTCAAAGATCATGTTCAGTGACACGTAAACTGTTAAAACTGGGGACAAATGGTTACAGATATTAAAAGTATATATATCATTTAACCTCAAGAAGCAAGTATCATTAAGGTAATGGTAAATCATAAATCTCAAATCTATGAAATATTGGAGACCGCCTCGGTGCAAGATTAGAAAAACCTGAAATTTCGCACGAAATCTCAGTCAGGAGTCATAAAACCACCAGTCCCTCCCTATTTATACATAATTTCTTCTAATGGCGCAAATTTATAGTGTCAGATGATGTCAAACTTTAAAATAATATCTAAATCACGGTGGACTATTAAGGAAACTTCCTGCAGATAACCAATCCATCCTTTTCGCCATCGTCATTTGTATGCTGAATCAAATAATCTAACACTTGGTAAGTGCAATTATTGTTCGAATTCTAATCATTTCCTTTTTGATCGCTAGTATTATAAGGTTATTGTAAGCTTAAGTCGAAACTTGACGACGAGAACATGAACTGATGAAAAGTCCTTTACAATTTGATAAACGTGGATGAAAGAATCGATTTATCATCATTTTACTTCCAAAAAAACTATCACAGAAGCAATAAACAGGAAGTCCCTAACCTGTGTGCTATGAAGACTTAAATTCTGTTTTAACTTACAAAACGCTGATGCGTTCCAAATCAAAACCTGGAACAGTGAGCCTAATGCAATCGATTTACTTAGTACCATTCACATAGTCCTACAGCTTTGAAAGACGAACATTATTCATTCGAATGATTGACGCTTAAAGAATTCTTGATCTTATGACTGGCATTTTTTATTATTTATCGATAGGAACTGGAGGGACAATTGAAAATCTAAATGCATTAAATGGCTGCTTGGTATTATTACATGTGATTTAGCTATACGCACCTATGAGAGGTCTGTTCAAGAACCATCAATTGCTACAGTGAGCTTTTAACCATCGAGCCACTAGTTTGGAATCCAGCAATCAACATTTTCCTAACTGTGTTGATTAGTGATATAGTGCCTCCATCATGTCACCAACAAAACAAATATGCACTGCTCACAGATTCTCGGTATTACTTGAGATGATGCCAAATCACGATATGAACAACCCCGTATTGCATTTTAACTTCCATAAGATTTACTCAAAATGAATACTGTGATATAAACACTTACCTGGTCTACGATAATCAGTATTTGCGAAGGGTTCACAAAGTTATCACTTCCAGTAAAATTTATCAGCTGTATGGCAATTTGTTTACCCTTTTCAACAGTCAGTTCATTTCTTATAAATAAGAAATCACCTTTTTTACCATCAATGTCTTTGTTCCATTGGCTGATTTGATTTAGTAAAACGGAGAGTTTGACTTCCTGTTGTAATGATCGACCGGCATATAATGTTTGGAAAAATAAGTGAATTTCATCTAATCCGGAAGGATTCCAATCATCGTTGTCACTGGCCATATTAGTTGAACGCAGTAATTTACAGTACAGACTGTAAGTGGCGTTTTTAGATGATACAATATTGCTATTTGCAAGCTTATCATGATCTTTCATATATTCATAATATAGTGGAAATTGTAACAAGTCGTGATATGTCCAATTTGGTGATTGCTTACTCCCGCCAAATAACATCAAATTCCCAAAGCATCCGGAGCGAACAATACTTATATGAACATTGCTTGGATCAAGGTTAATATTTGTAAGTACCTTTAAAAAAATACAATTTAAAAGTTGAGGTAAAGCGAAATATTCTACTAATTTGGCAGTCTGTAATTATTAAACGGCACTCTTCAAATAGAAGATCAACCAATTACCCTATTGTTATCTGCACAAAGAGATCAATAGATTTTTAGCACCATACAACTAAAACCTCTCGGATTCTCTACATAATATCTGAGTTTTTTATGGGTTACACATGCATGCTTCACTTATTTTAATATAACCTCCATAGACAAATGTTTATAAGTCTACTTCACACCAACTGGGTGAAATAGTATCTTTCAAAAGCCTGTGTGGTTTCAGTCAACCATTTGTTTTATGGGCAAAAAAACGTCAGTAAACAAGAACAACATTTGTGTTTTTGAGGCTGCTGTCTTTGCCGAAATAAAAATTCCTCACTTTTAACTAAAAAATGGATGGATTACTGAAAGAAACCTAAAATATCTGATCACTTCTGGAGCTCTATATAAGTATTCTTATGTTTTGTTTCCTTGCAAATTTTTGCAGCAATGTTATCGAACACTGTAGGTTTCCATATTTACTAGTGAACAAATTTTGAGGACTATCTAACACAAGCAAATTTTCCCACGTCATCCTATCCTATGAATATACTGTTCTATTGAAAACCAGTTTGGACCTTTCAATCGCACAAAAATGAGGATCTCGCTGCTAAAATGTTTTAAATTTTCTAAAGTTTCACCAACAAGTTTGGTAGGACTAATCTGTCGACAAATTTTTTGACAGTTCATTCTTTAAGTTGCTTGCTCCACAAAATATTAACACACTAAAGCTGTGAAAGATTTTAAGAATCAAAGTGATTTCAAAATTTCCCTCAATTCCTGATTTCGAAAAAGAATGAAAGAGCTGTTTTCCCATACATATGCTGTCAATTCAAGCACCACTTAATGTTTTGATTTACCTGACTTGCGCTTAGTTGTAATGAAAGCTTCTGTGTAAGTGCTTTCAGAGTTTGCACCCAATCAATCACCTAAGAGTATGCACATACTTTAATCATGCGAAATTAATTTGTCTTTTAAACTGACTTAACTGCTCAGTGATAAATTTCTCAAAGCATAGACTAATCGGTAACTAATTAATCATGCCTGACTCAAAACGTCTGATAAAAAATTTAAAGTTATAAGCATTACACTTTTATTCCAAACACCATGATGAATATTTGTTTGACATCTGTTTCGGTGTGTCGCGCTGTGTTGCTTTGATAACTTTGATAAACTATACTAGCTTTGAACATTGGTTTATCTGTTGTCCCAAACCTACCACACTATTATTTGATAAATAATTGATAAGAACAATTCCGATACCATTTGAAGGACTTTATCGTTAAAAATTAGTGCTTTTAGCAATCGATTCCCAAGTCATATTTGAAATAATTTATTGAATGTTGTACAGTGACACTTTTCAATAAAGTTTGGAGTTCCTTTTAATTTTCTGTCACGAAAACGCACTCTCCAAATTTTAAAGCAGGTAAAAGGCAGCTACTTGTTCAAATGAATAATATCTTAATAGTATCGTTTTCTGAAAATATCTAGAATACAAACCACTGCCTAAGTAGATTTCGGACCATGAAGTCCCCGCGTGTATTATTTAAAGTGATGGATCATACGATACTGAAGCTCACAAGTCTTGTTTATGTCACTTTGCAGCTAAAAATACCAGGCATAAATTCACATTCCAGCAAAGTGTTTCATTCATGAAGCTACAGACGTAATACTGCTAAACTATGCAAAGACTGTTTGAGCTATAGCATTTTAATCTATGTTAACGCCATTCTAAAAAGCCTTCGGATGTTATGAACGAACATTTAGACTGACATTTCATTCATATCTCTGAGTCTGGTTTCAATTTTGTCTGGCACATACTCTATTTTATTAACTGTATTTGAAAAGGGTAATAAGGACAGTTCAGTGTTCAAGATGAAGGAAAAAATCACTATATGCATCTTCCAACACCAGTATTAATTACAGACTTGCAGTCATTCACAGATGTGGGGCAAAACTTAAGGATATGACAAAAAATAACAAATCAAAAGCGTAGAAGCTTACTGCCGCAAAAATATGAATCATGAGGTGGCTGTAATAGTATAAGAAAAAGTAAATTTTTCAAATATATATGATATTGTGTTTTTAAATTTAACCTACGGCATACAGAATTGATCTAACCATAATTCCTGTTAAGAAAAAATATTGAAGCAACAGAAAATCCACGAAACATCTTTTTGCCTCACGTAAAATCTCAGTGTCAGAAGGTGAACTGCGATCACGGAATACAAATCCATATCCTCTACACTGTAGACAGAATTCACAGATATAAGTTTATACAGACTGCGGGAAATAAAATGTTATTTCCTTGTCATATTAATTTGAAAGCCAGCTGAGATAAATATTATTGAGGGAAAACAACAACAGGATGAAAAATGCTTAATAAAAAGCGCAGAAAATAGTTGAAATCTGGGAGACATATGGAACGTTGTCGTCACGCAAATTGAGAAAGCAAGAAGATAAAATTAACTTTAAGGTATTTGTAGTTGTCAATTACAATTTAAATTAGCACGAAACGAATGAATATATATTTGTTGATATAGTAATATCCTTAGAGGAAGGTTTATACATTTATGTCGTTTTGTAGTTCAGTTTAGTGAAACAAATTTGAAAACATACACCCTAACACTTATTTCTATTTCAAAAAAAAAGACGATTTCAGCAGGATTATTATTGACTTTCTAGTTTGTTGACTGCAACTATGAGAAAGAAAACTAGGTCTTTGAAGAATAAATTTTGGGAATAAAAGTTTTTTACTAAGCCCTGCCGAAAACTTTCCTAACATGGCAGTTTTGGTGTCTAAGAAAGTGATACCGATGTAATTAGTCGTTCTGCAGTAAAAAGTAACTTAGTTAATAATAAGGTGTATCATCGGTGTGCCGATACTAGACATATTTCAAATTATTACCAAAGTCAAAAGATATTTTGAATAAATATTCATTGAAGCATATTTATAATAAATTGGTTCTCCCCAGAATGCATAATTTTCCATGGACAAAATGTAATTTGTTACTTCTTGATATGTTTAGACGAAATACTCTCCTTACAAAGACTGAAAGTATCAAGAAATATCGGTTTGTAACGGAATGGTTTAGAAGCAGGCTAACACGAAAGGATGAGGGCTACACTGTTTCTATATGAATACCTGGATGAAGGATTATAATATCTTTTGACAAACAAAATTTTGTAGTTTTCGTACCACATGTAAAGCGACGACTGAGTATTGTTGCTTGTGATAACATATTTTTGAACATCTGTATAACTCACAGTTTGTTGTAGAGCGAGGAGTTTTCAGTGTATATATATATATATATATATATATATATATATATATGCTTGTTAAACTGCAATCGAGAAGCAAATTGGTACGTTGACTGCATAATCTACAACAGTTATGAAGCACAATAACCATTTTATCATTCTAAACAATACGGCAAGCCGAACGATATCTGCTTACATCTTTTATACTTTTTGTATGTATTTTCTGAGCTACACTGCCTAAAGCTCTCAAGTTGTATGAAAAATATCGATCAAATGCTGCAGGATGGGTCATTAAGCCGTTCTGGATCCGCTCTTACAGGGCCAACGTTGATCAATCTTGTAATATACCTAGCTCCACTGAAGCAGATAAACTGAAATCTGCACAACCTACACGTTAGAATGTCACCCATGGCACTGACTTATAAATCAAATTCATAAAGTTTTTTATCCTGACATACGTCTGAAATATGGCTTTATTACGTATTTTTTCAGCGACAAATCATTTTGACCGTTTATGTCTGATGGATATTGTTGAGAGGATTAAATCTCTAAAAATGAGGGCTTATTACTTTCTCTTACTTGTAAACATTATCTGGTGGAAATTTCGACTTGTTTTTTTCTAACCTTTTGCCTACCTCGCGTGCCACGTTAGTTTCCAATTCCAGTATTCTTTTGGTCGCAATACGCTTATTTATCTATCTGCTTCATAGGTATTTTTAGTGTATATGAATCAACAAACTAAATGCGTATGGGCGAAATTTCCCTGTTAAAAGTGATTTTCGTCAGTACACTTTGGTGTTCTTCCGTGTGTTAGTCGAGCGAGTTGTCTAGATTCGTATTTCGTCCTCCTGTGTACTTATATCAGGAGTCTAGGATCTAGCGTAACCGAGGATCTTAAGCTACACAGGCAATAGCAATTTAAGTACTTCCCATTTTTCAGAGTTACAAATCTTTCAAATTTCGGGTAAGAAAATATATCCTTTGTTTTCCTGCAAATTAAAACCCAACCAACAAGAACGATTGCTTGACAGTTTGCGCACGCTCTCGACAAAAGATTTGTTACGGTATACTATGTGCTTGTTACTAAGACCCTTAGTGGTATCTTTAAGTGCAATCGTTTTTTACATTTTAAGGTGGAGTAGTTTCAGTGACTGGACGTGTACTGTATAGTATATAAATTTAAGTACTTACTACAGACGCCCAGTATGTATTCACCATATCTACCGCATAGTAAAAATGTTTGACAACTGGGTCTAGTAGAATAGTCTCCCAGTTGGAAATCAAAATATCTACCACGGACCGATATAATAACTTTTAACGCCATCATTTAGGCAGTTAAAGCTGTTTTTGAGGCTGAATTACAACTTTAGTGTGCATATTATGAATAGCTCTTCCAGATGATTTTTCAAAATATCAGTATTTATCGCAGTCATTCAATAAGTAAAGTATGAAACAATTATTTTCGACGATGGAAAAGTTTACGAACAATACAAACGTATCAAGTAAAAACAGCACTCCCAATTATATTCACACCAATATGGAATCATAAAACTCAGATGTATCTTGTAAAGAATGATTAGGAGTTTGCACTCTGATAAGTTTATTGGTTAGACAGATCCCTTGAAAATGAATTATAGGGGCAGTGAGACATGTCAAGTATTGGAAGTAACGCTATGGCACCTTATGTAAACGTCTTATAAAGGGGGTTTATCGCTGCGGTAAGTTTTTTGAGTCCTTATTTCATTACATATTTTGCTGGCTTAGATTCGATTTATCTAGACCAGTGGAAAGTTATTCATTTTAGAGATTCTGGACATACCAATTTATTGGTTTCATTCCCAACACAGCATTAAAGTTTTACCTTGAAGTTTCTCTGACAGAAAGTGTTGCATTTACTTTTTCACTAATTAAAATCTATTTGACTGAGAGCCAAATATTAGTGTGTTTTTAGTATTTCATAACTGTTAATATTAATTTTCGCCTTCTCTTAATATGGAGAGGCTGCAGAGGTTTGAAAATAAAATACCTCAAACAATCTTGTTCAGATTACTTTTTGTTTGTATCCCTCATGGCTACTGTCCATGAGAATGCTAATCTTACAAACTTTTGGAAGTATAAGTAGATTTTGTCTTTTTTCAGACTTTGGTATTCCGAACATCGCCGTTACAGCAACTACAATTTAACTGCGTGTATGAAAGTGTTTTCTCTTCAAAAGTAAATTCAAAAGCTTGCAAAAGTCTAGGACAATTCGTATCTTTTACCGTTAATACTTCTGAATATTTTGTTTCGTCATTTATAGTGGAAGCACTACCTAGTCATACTTGTCGAAAATGAACTAAAATTCATTTATGATGATTTTTAAAAGAAGAAATATTTTAAAATTACTTAATTTTTTTCCCTAGTATCTCAAATGTGATAGCTTCTCATACCTACTAAACAATTAACACAATTTATAAATTGTACTTGCCTCAATAGGTATGAAAGACATTCCATTCAAACCAAGCGTTATATAGTTTGGCTGCAAAACAAGAAATACAGGTTTCGTTACATTGATTGGAAGTAATTTTGATGTAGTAAACTTTCCATCCATCACTTTGATATTCATTTGACCAGCTGGAAAGCCCATATGTTTAAAACTTATAAGACCATTGCAAACTTCAGAGTATTTAAAACGATGTCTGATTATCCTATTAAAACTGTGCATAAAATACCCTAAATCAGGATATGAAAGGTCATTTCTGCGGAAGTGGCGATTTTCTTCCCAAGTAATCCAAAAATTCCCATTTTTCTGGATGAATTTATCATGATTAATATTATTTAAATATTCATTCGTTGAAATTTTGTCACGATCTGATATTTCAATAGATTTTTCTAAAGTGTGGTTAGTTTTATTGAATTCCACCAACAATGGTGATAATGATAAATTCGGTGGATTATCATTTACTGGAATAATGTTGATGTGGAAAACAGAAGTTACCGGCTGACCGAATTGTTCATTTAATGATGCATGTGTCAGTCCTGTTAGGAGTGAAGTTATGTCACCATTATCATCTGATGAGAGTGGAGAGGGTATTTGACGACAAAGAAATTGAAACTGAAAACTATCCTGAAACTCTTCTTCACCACTATGGTGGTATATTAACAAGTTGTAATCGATGAGTTTATGGCTGTATTCCACGAAATTTATAACATTATATACAGATGAGTTGTATGGTGATTTTATAAACAACAAACCGTGTTCTGGTGGTGAGAGAACTTGGAAGTATAGATCATATTCTTGAAATAATCCATCAGTTAACTTCTTTATGGAATTGTTTTGGCATTGTGAATGTTGAGCATAAAATAATCCAGGTGTTAGTATTAGGTTCCCACCTTCTTCTACAAAACCACCTTTATTTATGATTGTAGGGCTGAAATTGACTGAAGGTGTGGAAGTAGTGCCAGGTAATTTGTTAATAATAATACTGAAATTATATATTCTCTTGGGCTGCGCTCCCTCTACATGAACACGATATTTAAATTCATCCGTCAGGCTAAAGCTTTTGGAATTTATATCCGAAATTCGTTCTATATTTTCGTCCAAGACACGACGAAATGTATAAAATAAATTCCCTGCTTTCAAATCCTCCTGCGTAAATCGCGAACTTATACCAAGATAAACTTTGTCATCCGATTCCTTGTTGGTTTTCATCTGGCGGTTATCATTGTTATTTCGACTGACTAGAAATAAATGTCCATGTAACGGAATTTTCGTTAGGGTAAACCATATAAGTGAATCTTTTTCCCTTGGTTCAACTTTAACTTCTAAGTATCTTGAGTCTAATCTTGCTGTACGACCTTCCACACCAATTAGGTGTGGATTAATTCCATCACTGATAGCACTCAAGTGAATTAAAAGTGGTCTATTGATACTGATCGTCATGTGAATTCGAATAAAATTAACTGGTAAAAGTAGTCTTAAAACACCAGGAGTTTCGGAATTCCTAAAGCACGTCATGTGTATACGATCAGTAAATGATGTATGAGTACTTTCTGGTTGAGCAACTAGTCCAATGTAACGAATTTTTTGTTTAAGTACTTGTAATCCAGTAAATGAGTCTGCTTGTTTCCACTCTGACTGATCATTCCCAATATTTATTTGTATAACACCATATTTAATTTGTACCACGTGGAACTGATACTTTAAAAATGTTAGCTGACTGAATGTAATGGTAATGTTACCACTAGATAATGGAATTAAGTTAGATGGATGGATAGATATTGCTCTTACAGGCACACTGTACAGTGCTGGAAGCATAAACGTGGGTATCATGTTTTTCGTTTTATCCAGCAAAGGTTTTTGTTCACTCGTACTAATAGAAGAACGCGAATAGCGTTTTGGAAACCTAAAATATTATGAAATAAAGTAATAGTAAATAATAACACATCTGACAGTTATATCTCTGTGCAAAATAAACTTTGAACACGGAATAACTGCACGTCAAAAATGTTATAGAAACTACATTGATCACTAGTCAAGACGTATCAATGTTTTATCGAAACGTCAATAGTCATCGAGAAAGTCTATTTCTATATTTAAAGTATTAACGATTTCGTAGCCTGATGGGAGGTTTTTAGAGCATTACAACTAATGTTACTTATCTGAAAACTATATTTAAAAATTCAAGCTTTATTCAAGGTCATTTTACTTTGAAATATAAATTTCCGCCTCACGCACAACTTACTGGTAAGCGTCATAATCATTTAATGTGTGGCGTTTTATTTTTAAATGAAACAGTGACTATGTAATTTCTTATCATCGCTGACATTGTGAACTTATTGCCATATTTTCAGAACGAAAGGAAATTGTTGTCTGGTTATTGCGAACTTGCTACGCAATTTAACCGCTAGCATCTAAGTATTTAGCATCTAGAATTACATAGTGTAGTAACAGGATGTTTTAACATGTAAATTTAACAACACTGTAACAGCTTTGAATTCTAACAACAATATTCGGGCTTTGCCAAATAAACACTGAAAACCTTCAAGATAATATGACGTGGCAATCACCCCCATAACCTTCTATCTAAGATATTTAAAAGCTGATAACTTGAGTATTTTACCTACCTTGCATTACCTAAGTCCACTCCTAATTCCTAAAATCAAAACTTATTCTACAATCACGAAAATGTGAACTGTTTCTAAACAAGAATTACGTTAAACGTAGTCTCAAATCATGATCCGTACTAAGCTTCGATCAGAGAAATGATAACTAGATCTATTGGCACCTATTTTTTCTCAAATTAAATGCTGTGATAAAACTGTTCAAACTTTTTCAATGGTATAACGAATTCTCAACAATCTACAAAAGGCTTCATTACGTCTTTTAGGCATTACTGAAGTGACAGAATTCAAGAAGAAGGAGTGTAGCCTATGTGTTCCAAAGAAGCACTTTCATCTTCTGTCTTTCCAGTGTTACTATATGGTAAACAGATAGGCATGTTTTGGTAGTATTAATAATATCTACTTCTTGTTCACCCTTTTTCTCACCCCTTTTCAAAAAATATCGTTTTTACACAATAAATGCGTTGTTAAAACTGATACCCCTCATTAAGAAATGAAACAACTATTTTGGCGAAGAATATTTTCTTTATGACGATATGAGGAAAATACTATTTGCATTTAGTTCTGTCTAATCATGGTACACACTGTCTTGAGGGTAATTTGATTTTCAAACACATCTATCCTACATATCTTATTGCACCACCGATAGATTTATCATAGAAGACTCCGAGGATGAAGTCATTAAAAACAATTTTTAGCTTAAATGTTTCTTATTCAAATATCTGATATCTGATGAATATCAGTCTAAGATTGCTGTTCACAATTTCATTTTTACTAAAAAACTATCAAAGTCCCTGGTTTCAAATGCGGCTGAAGTTCACTTCTGTCTTGCATCAGATTCACTAAACCTAATATAAAAAATTGGCGTCAGTGGGTTTGTCATATGACGTGACACTTACTTATCTAACCAAAGCAGAGACCAAGTCCATGAACAATAATGAACTATAACGTAAACCATTACTTGAAGGCTTGCGTATCTTCCAAAATATTTGAACGGTTGTTTATACATTGCTTCCAACTAAAAGACAAAGACTGGGCCTGTGTTTTACCATTTCCATTGCTATATACAAAGTGTAATCAGCTAAACAGTATACCTGAGGTTGTAAAATAGAAATCAGTATACATCATACAAATAGATTTACTTACCGTAAAAAAGAATTCTGATAAAAAGCCAAGTTGTTTGCTTTCAAGACGTGGTGGTTTAAACAGGATGCACAAAACTGCTTATCAACTGTATTGTGATAGACATCATTTTTTCTTGTTCTTCTTGGATCCAAATGGCTCTGTAAATCTGAATACTTTGAATTTTGCAAACTCTGAAAATATGCAAGATATTGAGGATTAAACATATATTGATCACAAAAAATAGCTTTAAAGTTATTTGAAGTACTGGTAAAACTAGTTAGTCATCATATTAAACAAACGGAAGTTAATTTAAGTATCACTTAAGGTTAAAAAAATTAGATATAGAAGCCAATTGGGGAATAAACGAATAGAGTGATGAAGTAGAATCTTAATTAAATGTTCGGTTTTGCACTCTGTATCTTGACAAAGATTACGGGTTAAAAATAATTTAATATCAAATTACTTTTCCCATCATAGAAAAAGCAAACGAAAATCAGTTTTTTCTTCAACTTACAATGAGACTGAAAGTATCACAGACAACAGAATATAGAAATGGGGACAAATTAAACGAGATCAGACAACAAAAATGTATTTCTGAGTTGCTCAGTTCTTATGAAAGTTGAACTAAATCAGCCAGAAAATCACCTACAAAATAACTAAGATACGTCTGATATCACTGGTTCCCGACTGAAATTGGGAACAGATTAATGAATTAATAAGCACTGTGAATTTGAAATAAGTATCTAAACTTAGTAAGGAGGTGGAGTGAGCGATAAATGTTTTATTTTACTAGTTAATCCTATGTAGCTTAACAGTGTGATTGATAGATTTTAATAGTACTGGGAATTCATCCGTATCAATACTTAAAATGCCAAATACCTCTCATTGAAAAAGATTTGTTTTCAAAATGCTTCCTAAGAAGCCCAAACTATTGTAGTTGAAACGAAAGTGGTGCAAATATTTATGTTTGAAGATCATCTTAATGCCAAAAATATGCAGTATCTGAGGTGGAAATTCTTTTGTTGTACCTTATTTAGAGTAAAAGGCACAATACGAAGACTTACGTTTCGTGCTGTTTAGCGCAGCTGTAGCCTCAGTACTGAATGTTCGGTCATAGACTATACCTGTAACTGTTAATAACTTACCGGGTCACTAAAATTAATAGGAACAGTGTATTTCTTAGTCAACAGACATCATTCTCAACTGAGGACTTAAAAATGAATTCATTTCTCATAATGTAACCAGTTAGTTTGGGAACGATTTTTCACTGAAGCACTTTGACACATCACTTTACTTCGTTTCTGCGACAAATTTTCAAACCCATTAAACTTATCTCAAATGCTGCACAAAATGAAAGTCTTCAGTTTCACTAATTCAGATTAAAATTGCTTAGACGTATTTTCACCTATTGTAGGAAAAAGTGTATAGATCTGTACAGTAATGTTTGAATTCAAGGAGGTCTGGTCCTGTTAGCACACAAAAGCAAAATTAACGACAACGAAAAGTCGAAATATTAAGCTAACAAGTCACATAACCTTCACAATAAAAGGTGATAGTGAAGTTTTTAAGACCAGAAGCAAGTTTATGGGTAGAAAATCATGATTCTTTTCCGAGCTTAAGCTGATTAAGGTAATAATGGATAGCGGTTAAAAAGGGAACCTGAAACGCGCACTTCGTTCTCTTTGTGACTAGTCAGCAGGAAGTAATTGCCTTCCAGTAAGCGATGTTTTCCCCACTGGGACTGAAAACTAGGGCCGATCGCTTCAAACGCCGGAGCTTTGTTCACTAGGCCGTTGAGTCACGATAGCCAGCTCTTGTGGAACGGGTACAGTGTACGTGCTGTTGCTTCCATTATCCCGTAGTTGACTGGACTGAATTGGTCGGCCTCTATTGGTATATGCAAACATTGACCACTAATAGGCAGGTATATCCAGTTGACAAGTCTCTAAAAGGACGGAACGAACGTCCTTGATTCCATTACTAGCTTCTATCCATCAGTAATATCAAAAGCAAAAATATAGGTAATATCGAGGCATCTGCGCAGCAGCCCATATGCTTATGGTGATCGACCAGTTAAGTCCAGTCAACAACGGGATAATGTAAGCAATATCATTTAGGCTAATGGTCCTATCTATTGGGATTGTAAGAGCCTCCATAAAGCCGGGAATAATATGCAGTTTGTCACATAAAGCTAGTGTTGTTCTACAACAGTGCTTGTACAAATAGCTCTTATGATGTACTCAAAATTAGTTTGTTCAACCGATTATTTACATGGCTGTAGTCAGTGGGTAAAACTGTCATTGAACCCGTCAATTTCACATAACTCACTCAGCTGAAAGTATTTGGTCCAAAAAATAGCATAACCTCTTATTTACTCCACTTTTTGCCTGACTATATAATAATTTCCACTTTTCTATCAACAGGTGATGGTTTAATTAACTCACTTAAGTTTATGGTGGATTTTCATCTATAATGGAAGTTTAATTCATGATTTGCCAAGTAAATGAAACGCCCGCTCAGAACAAGAGTGGATAATAATTGAGAACATGACAACTTTTGCTTACCTCAGTAAGTAATGATCATTTTATCTCTTCTTCTGCTAATGTCTAAATCGTTTTCCGATGCAAACTAAAGCTCAGTAACATTAAAGAAACGAGAAATCACAGTAAATATCCATACACAAATGTTAGAAAATGTTCGGTTTCATTTCATTGCAGTGTGATCAGCTGAACAAAATATTCAAAATATTCTTACTTAAACGATTTTTTTGGAAAGATGAAACGATAAGCAAAGTAGGAAGTGGAAAGACACTTAGTCAAAACTTAATAGATGTATGGATGTAGAAACCTAAAATTTGGAGCAAATTGAAGATCATAGTAAATAAGTAATTATTAGTCTTCAGTTTTTGCCACGTCTAAAAATCATTTACTTAGAAATATAAATAAAATATCTGCTCTCAAAAAAATTGCTTTTGTTACGCCGAAAAAGTGTCACAGATTCTAATTTTAATCCATGTGGCAGAAGATAACACTAGAGTGTATCTGGTTTCGGCACCAAAATCCCCGAATGCTATAGCTGTCAATGACTGTCAATTCCTCCTGATGAAGTATCTAGGGAAAAAGCCAACTGCGAACGGCACACAGAATAGGACTTACAAAGAAAAAGTAGTTTTGTTTTTCTTCAAAAAACAAATATCTGTGGTGTATTTCATAAATGGTAGCGAACTGAGGTTCGGTGAGTTATTCGTCTCTACTGTTGCATGGTGGATGGGCTTTAGAAAGAATAGATATAAAGTATCACTTTCTCTACTAAACAAAATGTGCAAGTGGATTATTTTTGTAGAGTGTGTGATCAGTCACAGATCACCGACCTTATACTCTCGGGGTGATACGTGACACTTCATTCATTTTCCAGGAAAAATTTTATGCACAACTATCAGGAACTTACTGATTTTTAGTGTGTTCACTTGATTTAAGCATAGTTGTTATCTATACTAAAGTCACTGCTATAACAGGTTCTTCATCTCAAATTTTTAGGTTGAAATTATTTCTTCATTACCTACGTAAGTATATCAAATCAAGCACTCACAGTTAGTCAATCCAAGAAAACTTGTTTTTTCTATTTAAAACACGTTTTGCTGAGTTTCATTTTATTCATAATTTGAATCCTAATCAACATTTTGTTAGCTTTATTATAGAAACCTTGAAAGAATATCTTAAGGTGTCACGTGTAGATGGACTTTTCCTTCACAGAGTAATCATTTATCTATTGTGTGTCCATTCCATCTTATACAAACGTTGAGTATTTTCTCCTACATCTTTTCATCTGTCTTTCCGTACTCTAAACTCTCTTAGACCTATGGATGTTCAATTTAGCATTAAAATGAGTGGTTTGCAGGTTCCATAATAGACTGTCTATTTGATATAGCACAAAATGATACAATTTTGTCTAATTCATACTAAATAAATGACAAATACTGTTATATAACTGCGTACTATATCAATGAATAGCACCCCTTTGAATTATATTGTACCACTGTCGAGTCGGAATCAAAATTCACTCAGCAATCTTATGAAGATTCGTGCAGTAGGTAATGAGAGACACTTACAGTATGACGGCTAATGGTACTACCCTGCTTCCCAAACCTCGGTAGGTGGAGCGGGGCTCGAACTAGTGACTCCGGTTGAAAAACATCTTTTCAAACTAATGAACTGCAGCTCCACAGTGCTTAAGTTTTACTCTTAAAATAATTGAACCTATAGTTTTCGGATTCTATGTAAGGGGCTAAAAAACGATTTACCAGTCGTATGCATCTTACCTGTGGAAATTCAAAGACTAACGACCATTATCTATGCTTCAAAAATTATAAATATTGGCAAATAAAACACTAACTTTGACTTTAAGTATGTAGAACTATATAAGAATGTTCGAGTCAGAGAAACAAAATAACAAGCAGGAGGGTTATTACCTTTCATTATCTTAAATAAAACAAAACCTTATTATGATTATTTTCCCCTTGGGTTCCTAGTGGAACATAGAGCTTCACTAGCACATCTCCATTTCACTCTCTTCTCTGCAGCCTTTTCAAACTGGCTCCACAACTGCCAGCCCAGAAACTTCGATTTGTTCCTCACACCATCTCCTCCTTTCACCCTCATCTCGGCCGCTCAACTCGTCTTTCCCATCTCGATTTCACTCGAGGGTCTAGACTGGTGAGTGATGTTCCCAATCGGCCCTCTCAGCGTATGCCCAATCCAATCCACCTCCACTTTCTTATGCATATTTGTTAGGTGATAGGTTCTTGACTCGTTGGTTCGTTGCCAGCCAGCCAGCCAGAGTCCCTTGTTGCTTCTTCTTATTATACTGGCCATCTGATCTTCAGTATAGGGTGAGTCAGTGTTTAAAATCCGGATCTTCTTCATGCTTTTTGCTGGACGCAGTAGATCACACTGATTTCAGATTGATGAAGGCCTGTCTTACTTTTCCGATCCTGGCTTTGACGTTCTCATCTGTGCCATCTGTAGTTACAATGATGCTGCCTAGGCAGGTAGATGAAAGAGACTACTTCCTTTAGGTTGTCCTCGTTAATAATGATTGGTTCCTCTTGTTTTTCATGCTGTTGTTGGTGGGGTATCTTCATCACCTCTGTCTTCTCTGCTTTCACCTGAAGGAAGTTCCGTCTCCGCTGCCA